CTGCGAAAAGAAACCTTCTCTGTGGATATGAAGAGGAGTCCTGCTATAGAACCAGATGTGGTTGATAGATAGCACTGTGACGCTTTCAGTAACTTCTCTCCTTCTGTGACACCAAACAATTGCATAAAGATTTTCTTGAATCCGCCAACCTGAAGAACTCGAGCTCCCAAGCTTAACTTCCCTTTTACTGTATCAGTTATCTTTGGCCACAATCTAACTGCAAGTTAAATGCACGGTGTTAAGTTGATATAGTCCTTCCTATGAATGATGCTGTGTAGGACAAAAGTAAGTGAAAATATAAGTGTCACCTAAAGACTACATACCGTGCTCTTGAAATTCATGTGCACAATGTTAGTCTTTCTCCCAAATTTGTTCATCCTACCGAGAACTGAATTTGCTTTACCTGGAAACGTCAAGATGGTTAAGATTACTATGATATTGAACTTCACAAGAGAATTAATTAATCAAGTTTGTTGAAGAAGAATGTCCTACTTTGATTTGAAAATTCTGTAGACTTGTTGTATTGGCTTGCAGAGTCGGGCAGGTATCTGTTTGATGACTTCCCAACCTGGCATGCTACTGAGATTGGAATTCCAATAACTATATCCTGAAGAAGTGAAGCCTTCATTCCTAATGCTTTTCTTACTGGAAGATGTATTGCTGAGCAACTACTAAGTTCTGAGAAGTATTCAGTTGAGATTTTCTTGCGTTGGTTGAATCCTTGTATTCTGCAGAGGATATATATAAGAAAGCAAGGAAAGAAGATTAACCTTGCCCTTTTGTTGGATGAATCATCTGTGGCTCATCAAGAAGACCAAAAGACATCAAGTTATTGGAAGTTAGAATGACTAGGCTTTTCGCTTTTAGCAACAGACATTATCTAGAGGTTCATGACATGTTCAAGAAAAAGCATCCAGATGATGGGGTAAAGGATGAATTAACTAAGATAAGAAATATTAAAGGTGCCATCAATACCACATTCTTGATAACAAGTATGATCTACCATCTCTCTTTCAATTTATTTTTTTCACAATATACTTGTGTATTTATATTTATGTCTAAGTACGTGCTTCTGTGGCTCTGTCAGTAAAGCATTGTGAGCTGGCAATACACCTTTGCAATGCGAATTCTGTGAGTTTTTTTTTCCTGAGATATGTGAGTTTATTTGTAATAAGATTGGAAAAAGTAGAGAGGAAAGGAAAAGGTCATTTATCTCTACCCACATGCTAAAAGTATTGATAAAGTAGTAAATCTAGCAAAAGATTCTACTGCAACTTCTATTTTTCCAAGCTATGTAAATGGTAAGAAAGTGCCTCAGCGTTGTGTGTACTTCTGCTCCATATATTTTAAGTCCTAATTGTGACAGTTGAATAATAGTTAGTTGAAGGTCCATATTTTAAGATAGAAAATGAATTGTCTGGATTCCTTTTGAATCTTTGTTTATAGAAACTCATGCAGCAGTTAATGAAAGTCATTACTGTTTTTTGATGTCTTAAGAGGGGCTATATCATAAAGTGAGTAAGCTGACAGCACTATGGACAGAATCATTGGAAGTTTACGAGGCAGTTAACACAAGACTCAAAGGCTGGCTAAGGAAATCATGTGGTAGGGACAATATGCAGAGACATAATTTAAGGTTTTGAGAAAGAAAATTTGCCAAATCATTCTTTTATCATCACCATAAAATTTGCCAAATCATTCTTTTATCATCACCATGCCCTACAAGTATGCCAACCAGGTTCTTAAGTGTGGAATGGCCAAGATTTCAAAAGAATTGTTTGAGAAAAAGGGAATGCCAAATCATTCCCACATCACTCCCATACTCCTCCGCATACTAACTATCAAGTTTTGCAGCATGGAATGTCCAAGATTGCTGCAAAGGGAGGGAGGGAGGGAGAGATTTTGCATCATTTGTTATGTTGCTACATTTTTTTTGTTGTCAAAATTTCAAGGTAATGTTTAACATAAGAGATTTTATATAAAGAATAAAAAAGACAGCCCTATAGTGAAAAGCAGCTTCTTTAGAAAGTATTTTGGAAAAATTATTCTGAGTAATTGAAGTGCATTTGAATCATATATTTGGCTGACAAAAGATGACGTCTGATGGCACTTTGTTCTCTGCATATTGCTTCGTGAGGATATTATTTAAACTTTATGAGCCGGCACGTTAACTTTCTGATTACATACCTCTCCTAAGCTCTCTTATGATAAGATAAGAAAACCAAATGAAAAAAGTGAAAATGCCATTTACACCTGAGATCTTACTTTCCCTACCTACTTTCATTTTGTGTTTTCCTATAGCCAAAGAGTCATGTTAATTATATATATCATTTGCAGTCATCACATTTAACTTCTATATATGTCAAAAACATTCTTGTGAAATCTCTATCAAGATGCTTATAATTTTTTTTTTTTTATATACGTTACCATGAATCTCCTGAGTCCGGAGTTGGCTTCTCTCCATTTCCTCCCCTCTCCATTTTCCATATCAACCATTAGATCTATTTTTCAATGGTTCAGATTTGATGTTTCATAAAATTATTATTATATTTATTTTTTATAAAATTTTACATTTTAATTATAATTTTATGAAACATCAAATCTGAACCATGGAAAAATAGATCCAATGATTGATATGGAAAATGGACAAAAATGGAGAGAGGAAGAAATGGAGAGAAGCCAACTCGCCAACTCCCCTGAGTCCTGAGTTAGGGTAGAAACATAAGCAGTCAACAGTAAAATCCATGAGTTTTGATAGTATTTCCAAAAGGAGGGGGGGAATCAAGTTTTTGCGGCAGCAATCACAGTTAGCCTGATATGATTATGAAATATGTTTATTCAAACAACAAAATTACAACTCCAATCACGGTAGCTAACTGTAATTTAAACCTAGCATGTACTGCCGTTAATTTGGTTCTATTTTGCTTCTTTGAAAATAGATGGGTCAACTGTAGATGGATACCATGTGAGGGTGGGAATGTTTGATGAAAATGAATACAACCAAATCATTCCCACATGAACCTCCAAGATTTCAAAAGCAAGATTACAACAAGGTCCAAAGAAAGAGAAAGTGGAAAATGTTCTTAATAAGAAAAGCTCCAAGGTTCAATGATCCTTATCATGGAAGTCTAATATCAGCAAAGATAATCAACAAAGATATTTTCTTTTCCCAGAGAAATGTTTGTAGTGTTCAACCAAGGTCATGCGGTAGTACACAGAAAGCTTTAAGATGACAGAGTAATTTGTCAACAGTTCCTCTTGCAAATAAGGAAACACCTTGGTTCCATAAATACTACTTGTCTTTTGCCTTTTTCCCACTTGTGCATGCTTCTGCAGTGGCGTCATTAAAGATTTTTGTGATGGAAATGCACCTTTCTGATGCGAGAATTCTCTATGATTACTTGTGATAAGATAAGAAAAAGTAAAGAGAAAAGGCCATTTGCTTATATCACCCACGATTACTTGTTAAGCGAACAGTTAATGTCAGATTGGAGAATTCAGTATAAAATGCTTAGGTAGGTAATTCAAATGTTTCTTATCATTGTCTATACTTGTCCTCGGGTTCTAACTATCATAGTTAAGGAATATTCAGCTGAAGGTCCTTATTTGTTTGAGAGATCATTTAGGTATATGTGGAAAGCCCAAAAAACAAAAGAAACGGTGAAGCACTTATCAGTGTTCTTCCAATAGTTTGTGAATTTCTCCCATAACATGTCCCAAAATGTGAGTAGGAATGTCACCATCTTGATATGATGCATTGCCGAAGGAGAATCTGTCTCAAGCTCAACCTCAGCATGCATGATAATGCTCTGATCCAAGCATAAGTGTCATCACAGACAAGCCCTTCCATATCGTAGCTTGAAGTCAAATCCGCTCCTATAATACATTTATGTTATCCGAGAAATGGTGATACAAAAGAGTGTGTGTATAGGGTTTGCCTCTTTATTGTACATTCGTTGTAGTCAATTTATGATTGTAAGCCATCCTTTTTGCTGCTCTTGGATAAGTGTTGATCTTCATTTTCAAGAATTTAAAGCCAAATGCAACAAATCGAAGTGGGATGTGTTCATAAGATGGGTCAGCGGAGATTTGATCTTGATTAATGTGTACGTTATTCTCAGAATATTTTTAAAGTTCCAAACAACAATTGAATAATTATGCATTAGTGCTGTTTGGCGGGTCATGAGACAGTATCATAAAGTGACGAAGATGACAGGGCAGTGACAATAAACATTCTGAGTCAGCAATTAAGATTAAAGGTGGCTATGGACATCATGTGGTTGGGACTGCAAGTTGAGACATGCTTTAAGGTTTTTTGAAAGAGGAAATTTGTCTAATTATTTCCCCATCACCACCATCCACGAGAGCCAAACACCATGTTTTGCTGCATGGAATAGCCAAGATTGAAGCTAGGTCCGATGATAGATAAGATAAGGGGGAGAAGTTTTTTCATTTTTCTTTAAAAATAATTAAGGTTTAATGATCCTGTCCATTTTTAACTCCAAACACTAATCCAGCTGGCTATATTTATTTTAATTATGCGGAGTGGGGATGAGTGACTGTTATAAGAATAATTATAAATTCCTAGTTGTCCTTGAATTGGCAATGAATCACCACCAATTTATGCATGGTAACAAAGGAGGGTACAATCAATCTACGAGTTAAATGCCCTTTTTTGCTTCTTCTTCTTCTTCATGTTATTATGAGTTGTCATCATTGTTGGCTTCATCTAGTGTAGCTTCTCTTGATTATTTTAGTGGGGTTTGTTGAGTACCATAGCTTAGGGCCTTTCTTGAGGGTAACATTTAGTCTGTTAAAGAAACTTTCTGCTCCATGCCATAACATTTTGAATATCCATTCCATTCTGATTTTAACAGAAATGGACAGTCCTGGATGAAGCCATTATTTAAAGTGTAAATGCTATAATTCTCTGAAGTGTGAAGTTTTCAGGAAACTGAAATTAAATCATTAAAAAAAAGAAAGAAAGAAAGAACCATAACTTGAAGGAGAAAGTTGCTTTTTCTTATCAACAAAACTTTGTACAATAGTAAAACATACATTGGACCCTTTGTTGCTCCACAAAATAATAACTGATGAAGCATTGGGTGCGAAAAATTACAATTCTTCTTTATCTTCCTCTAAGATTGAGAAAGCGCATGCTGAAGATATTTGAAAGTCTTCTGGTAATTTAAGAAACCCATAAACCAGAATTCGAAGTTGTCCAAGGTAATGATTTCTATGTACTTTTGTGAAGGCTTCTTCACATTCTTACTTTGGTTAACACTTCTTATCTTGAAAAGTGGAATCAAGACCTGCAAATGAGAGATAGGTTTGAAGATGTATATTAGCAAAGCTTGACAAAAGATAATACAAGATTCAGTGATGTTTTGTGCAGAACTGTGAGAATCACCTTATAGTGGACTCCTCCAATCACTTCCCCTTCAGATGATGTGATCTTGATGGATCTGTCACTGCAAAAAGCAACCTTTTCTGTGGATATGAAGAGGAGTCCTGCTATAGGACCAGATGTGGTTGATAGATAGCACTGTGATGCTTTCAACAGTTTCTCTCCTTCTTTGACACTAAATAATTGCAAAAATATTTTCTCCACTCCGCCAACCTGAAGAATTCTAGCTCCCAACCTTAACTTACCTTTTACTGTATCAGTTATCTTTGGCCCCAGTCTCACTGCAAGTGAAAATAGCAGTTTTAAGAGATAATTTACACTTCATTTGCAAGTTTCAATCACAAAAGACTATTTGACATACATGTTTGAAAAACTTGTTTAGGCCAATGAATAATGGAGGGTAGGAAAAGAAAAGGTTTAAGCTTCACAAAGGCATTTTTAAAATTCACATGGGGAAAATCTAAAAGTCACTTAAGACTTTCATACCATGCTCTCGCACTTCATGGGCAAAACTGTCAGCATTTTTCCCAAACTTGTTCATCCTCCCAAGAACCGAACTTGCTTTACCTGGAAACATGAAGATGCTTAGGATTAGATGATGATCAAACATCACAGAAAGGATTGATCAAACAAGTTTTGTAAGGGAAGGATCGCTTACTTTGATTCGAATTTTTGTTAAACTTGTTTTGGCCAGCTGAATGAGGCAAATATCTCTTCGAGATTATTGGAATTCCAATAACAAGCTGCTGAAGAAGCGAGGCCTTCCTTTTTGTATCACTCTTTCTCTAAAATATGCCTTCTATGAGATTTGTGAAGGATGTTAGCCAAAAGAACTTTGCTCGCTTACGCTGATCTTGTATTCTGCAACGTTATGTAGAAGAATGCAAGGTGAGTAGGTGAACCTTGACTTTTATGTGGGATGACTCATATATCCATAGTCAAGAAGAAGAGAAAGTTGATATAAAAAATTGGACAGCTTGTTTGGTTTCTTTTGGTAAAAGATATCATCTACGTATGCATGTCAACTTTGATAAAAGCATGTAAAAGATTTGGTATAAAGGTGGAATCAACTTGCATCAATAAGGAAACTTGTCAGTGTTATCCAACCTCTTGTATTTTTTGATGAGCCAAACCTCTTGTATTTTATTTCCCTTACATGTGGTTCAGTGGTGGTGTGAAAGAAAGTTTCTGTGCTGGCCAGCTGGCAATGAAACTTTCTGATGCAAGATTGTCTAAGTTTACCTCTGATAAGAAAAGCATATTAAAGAACTATATATATATATATATATATAAAAAGTAATTAAAGAGAAAAAAACCATTTCCTCAGACCACCAAGAAGAGATTTTGAAATGGTTTTAATTTTCCGGTTAGCATAACTGGCGGCTTTTACGTCAAAAGTGATGTCAGCGTCAAAAATACTTTTGCAAGATACAAAAGTTCAAGGACATTGTAATTGAAAGTCCGTACTTTGATTCTGAAACCAGTGAGGCATCCATTGAAATCAATGAAAGTCAAGCGTATAGATCTTTTGAGGATATATATCATTCCATTTGTTTTCTTCTTATACTCTTCATTGTCATCATGATATCTTAGTTGCTAGTCATGAATATCTAAACCTCTTGGATCTGACGCTTTAGATAAATTCATTTGTCTAGCTGGATTGATTTGCGATGACTATAAATTATATTTCTATCCCATCTCGTTAATGAATCTATCGCCTTTTATTTATTTATTTATTCATTATTTCGGGTGATATTTACATGGTTTATTCATTATGTCATGTAGTAACGTAGTAACGGGTGAAATACAATATTGAATTATCAGGCATACAAGAAAAATAAACGTTGGTTAGACAGATGCATGTGACATGCATGATTTATGCATGTCAAGTTTTTGCGAGATAATTATACCGGATTTTAAAGAAATTATTGAGTTTACATTATTAACTCTTGTGATTGGAAAAGTCGACGTAAGACCAGTGAGGTAAAATCGCAAGGATATTATATTATTTTCCCTCGTCAGAAAAACATTTGTTTAATTTGATAATTTCTATTGTTATTGGTCATGCCTTTTAAATTACACCCTTTTAATGATAATGATTTATTAAAGGCAAAAGGATATACATAGATATAAATATAATATATATTATACCAACTAATAGGGGTGTGTGTGTGTTGATTGATATTGCTATAGTGGTAAGAATAGTGATATTTCGTGATTTTGAATTTTGATATGATAATCCTTATTTAATTTTAATTAGATATATATGGTCAAAAATTGAATGCATTTTATTGGGGGGAAAAAATACTATTGCTAGATGCATTCATCAGATTTTGATCTGAGGTTCAGGAGTTAAAAGCGTATAGTGGAAGAATAATATATTTTTTTTGAGGAGGCCGAAAGACAGGGTTAGCCACTTAGCCTAGCTTCTGAAACCCTAATCCTCAATGGCGCCGAAACGTGCTTCTCCTTTGGACGAACCGCCCTCAGCTTCTTCCTCATCCGAAGAAGAGGAAGCTTCATCCGAAGTTGGATCTTCATCTGAAGATGACGATCAACCTTCAAAACTTACACAACCTCTTTCCGCTGAAAAGAAGCCCACTTCCAAAAAGCCTCCACCTGCTGCCCCAATCGCAAAATCTCAGCCAAAAGCTTCGGTTTCGGATTCTGAGACTGAATCTGATGCCGAATCTGACTCCGATGATGAGCGCCCCAGTGAGAATGCGGATCTGATTGTCAAACCCATTGCCTCCAAGCCCAAAGGAGAGACGCCTAAAGGAAAGAAGTCAAAATCTCAGCCATCCGTTACGCCGGCCAAAGCAGCTAACAAGCGACCAAGTGATAACAATCGACCGGCCACTGACTCAAAAAAGGCAAAGAAGGGAAAGGATGCTGGTGGAAACGATGAGATCTTGGCGGCGGAGGAGGATGGGAGAAAGGCCGGAGATGAGTCCAAGAAGCTGTTTCAGAGGCTTTGGAGCGAGGACGACGAGATTGCGATCCTCATGGGTTTAGCGGAATATGCAGCCAAGACAGGAGAAGCCCCGCTTAAGGATATTAATGGATTTCACGATTTCATAAAGAAGTCGGTACATGTTGATGTATCAAATGAACAATTGGCTAATAAGATTAGGACATTGAAGAGAAAGTACGTGAAAAATTCCCAAAAAGGTAAGAATGGTGAAGGCCCCAGTTTCTCCAAACCATACGACAAGAAAGTCTTTGAATTGTCTAAGAAGATCTGGCCTGATGAAGGAGCCAATGGAGGGATAGACCTTACAAAGTCAAATGGGAAAGAGAAGAAAAATAAGAAGGAAGGTAACAGTGTCGTGGCTTCTCGGAAACGAGAGCCTGATCTGGTTTCAGATTCGAAGGAAGTTCGAAAGATAGACATTGATCCGCATGCAGGTTCGCCGCTGAGTTTAAGTGAAATGATTAGGTTTAACAAAAGTCTGGGCCTGTCAGGGTTGGATGATGATGTTATTAAGAGGGGATATGAATTGATTGGAGCATCCAAGAAGGCAGAGTTGGATGACAGGTGGAAGAAACTGCAAATTGCAGAGTTGGAGCTGTTTGTGAAACGAGTTGAGCTTGTCAAGGATGAGGCTAGTTTGATATGGGAGGCAACCAAATCTTCAGGCAATTAGGATTGTGTTACTGTTAGGTATATCATATGTTTTATTGGCGAGCTTTGTAATTTTTTGGGCTGACATGTGGTTGCTTTATGTTGTATTGTTAAATTATTGTTTGCTGGTACAAAAGAGGAAGATTAGAACTAGTGATCCTTTACTGAAGCTCGCATCTGGGACACCCACCGGAGGCTAGCTCTGTTGGTTAGCTGTTATGTCAATTAAATCAAGTTATGAAAATATGTAGGTGAATTTTTTTTTTTCTTTTCAAAATGATTTACTTTTGTTTCTTTATAGTGATTACTGAATTATTTGACATGTTTGTGTGTGTGTGTGTGTGTGTGTGTGAAGAAGAACCAAGAAATTGATTTTAATCACACATTCCAAATGACTGATTTAACTTGACTCCAGGTATATTGTTCTACGAACTAATACCAGAGTAATTGTGATATTGAACTTGGAAGTCTTTCAACAATCAATATTTCTTCTCTTTTCGGGGATCATGTGGTATTTTGGTTTTCATAATTTGATGATTTCTGGGTAGTGTTCTAGCTTCAGTTTTGTTTTAGTCACTAGATTATTGTGTATTTGTGTGTTTGCAACATTTCAGTACTGCGTGTGTTAGAGTTGTATTTACATGTCTTGAACATCATAGCGAATGATGAGGATGATAGTTTTGCAGTTATCTGTGAACACTGTTTGGTGGCTTGCTTTTTCTTCCCTTACCCCAATAAAGCAGAGTCTGATTTTCTTGTTCCTGGAGCTAGTGTATAGATTTTTTTACAACATGCGTTCTCACTGTTTTGATGTCACGTTCTGTTTGATATAATATCATGTGGTGGCTGAGATCGTTGTTGGTAGTGCCTCCGTGATATATCTTTTAAACGTGGGTTTGCTGGATGGGTATCGTTTGTTTCCAAATGTGATTGGTTTGTTAATCGTTTTAGAATGATCTTTATATGATTCTACTTGCGGCGTCCTCTGCTTGGGGCTTGCTTTGGTTTTGATTGAGTTTAGGCTTGCATGCTAAATTGCTAACTAGCTATTCAACTTTTCTATGGCGTTGGATCAAATGCTAATTTATTGGCTTTACTGGTTCCAAGATGAAGAAATTTAGCAGACATCTCGATTGGGATATATCAGTAAGAAATTCTGGTTAAAAAAAAAAATCAAGAGAGGACATAATTTTGTATTTCTGTAACGTTTTGTCATTGATTTTTTTTCAGCGTTTTAGGTTTTTATATTTTTATTTTTTATTATTTTAAGTCTTTTTATAAATAAAATGTGGAGATTTTGGAAATATTTAAAACAATGAAAAACAATAGTATAAGAATTTAAAATACTAAAAAAAAAGACAAGGATGAAAATTAAAGTGCAAGTAAAATGTAAAAAATTTAAAGTTATGTTTTTTTCCCTTCAAAAATCGATATTAAATGCTGTTTTTGTAACCCAAATAAAAATACCGTTTCACAGATCAAAGGTTGCATGGGACACTTAATTTTGTAGGTGTATGCTTAAGTTTTTTAATAATTTACCAAAAACAAAGTCTGCATGTTCTGTATTTATTATTTAGTATAGGAAATTTATTCAGTAGATATAGTAAAGTTAGTGTCTTTCACATAATATTGGTTGACAAATTCAATGAATCTGAATATGATTTTCTTGGGGCATTTGGCTGGTGATTTTAGCCCATTCCAACTAATAGGATAAGACTTGTTATTGTTATTATTTGGCTAGTGATTTATAAGACAGAATAAGTGAAAATTTATATTAAAATCAAGCATAAAAAAGTTTGGAAAATGGATTTTAACACTAGAAAATTACTATTAAAGTTTTTAAATTGAATTTGAAAATTTAAAGTCCTAAGTGTAACTTAAAGAGCACATAAGAAAGATGCCTAATTTATAAGTTTAGGCACTTGTATTTTAAATAGTTTGGGATACAAAGCACAGACCACAGTGGAGTGTTATAAGACCAAGAGAGGTATTTGCTATTTAGGTTATTCCTCACTTTTATTCAAACAATGCGCGGCTTTTATTACCAAAAAGTACACTTAATAAAAAAAAAACTGATTTTGAAATTGGATTCTTAGGAGACATTGTTAAAGTGAGATTATTAAAAAAAATTAATAAGATAATCTTGCATAAATATAAATGAATCTAATCTCCTCGGATTTCTGAGTAAATTTACTTTTAGAGATTGTCTATATCATTATTTTTAAAGGCGATTTTAAAAATAGGCTATTGATCTTATGCATATAAATTTTTAATCTAAAATCACATCGAGTGCATAACTTGGTACCGCATCGGCAGTACACTTGTAAACCTCACGAAATTTGCAGAGTCGTTTTGCATGAAGAAGAGGTGAGGGGTGCCGTAAAATTTAAAGCCATGAAACTTTCCTCTACATAAGGAGAAAATTCTATGAACAAAATATCAATTTAAAGATCTACAGAGCAACCAATCCTTTTATGGTATCACGTGGCAGGACTGCCAAGGACTCTAGTGCAGCTGATAAAGATTCATGTGCATTTCATTCCAGTGCTTCACCGTAGTGAAGCTTAAGCTTATTTGAATATCACTGATCAAGCATGATATACTCAACTGTCTAGCGAAAGAATTAAATTAAAGTGAATAGGCCTGCTAGTCTGCTGTTTCTTTGTACATATGGCCTTAAAATACCAATACTAGAACCTCACCTATGAGCAGATGTGTGTGGCATAGGGTATGGCATTGGACCCATGTTCATTGGGGCACCGGGAACAACTGTGCCGGACACTGGTGCTCGGACCCCATATGCCATGTGTGCTGGTCCAGGAAGATTTACTGGGGTGCCCACTGCAGAGACAAGGGGTCCTCCTATAGGTTGCCCAATAGTTGGAGTACCATATATTCCTACACCAGGAGGTCCGTTTGGAGTTTGAGGGGCTTGTTTGGTTGACTTCCCAGCAGCATTGGATGTAGAAGAACCATTTGTTTGACCAGTGATGGGTCCTTGAGGAGCTGAAATGTCTCCGTTGTTCACACTGGTGATATCATGTATACTGGATCTTCTTCTATCTTTATTCATCGAGTTCAAACGAATGAAGTATTTTTGAGCATGGCTTGCTACTTGAGTGGGCGTTCTAGTCACCACAAAGTGCCTAGATATACTTCGCCAGTCACCTTTTCCATACTTCTCCAAGCCAAGAAGAAATAGCCTGTTTGGCAAATTTTAAAATTTCAAAACAAAAAATCAGATGAATTTGAGCTTATCATGCGTACATGGAAGCAGATTTCTGGTACAAGTACAGCAAAATTAATATTAACTACAAACATGCTTTCCTGATAGATCATCTTTCCCATCAAATATAGTCACTTAAATTATCAATCACATTGCGAGTCTTTGATAGCGAATTTAATTCCATCAAGCAAAACTTTCAAACCAAGGTACATGAATAGCAATAAAGCATTAGATAGACAAGCACCTGTGTTGACAAGTGGAAGTTAATGAGGAATAGATCATGTAGCTAAGCACTCTAAAGAAACCAAGTTCAACCTAAATATCATACACAAGGGGAAATGGATCGCATTCTTTCTTTGAGGAATGCGAAATTAGTAAACTCCAATTGTCTGTAATTTCCTGTAAGCTTGAAGGAACCTATGAAAGAAGTTAAAATATGGAGCCAATTAGGTTCGATTCCTCAAGCATGCTAGAAGGAGAAAATTGATGTCACAAATTCAAGACAAGAGAGTGGAGATAATATGTTGGTATTTGGTCCAATTCAAATTTCTCTTATTTTTAGCAAAATAGTAAGTAAAATACTGGAAAGGAATTGCTAAGGTAGGTGAATCCGCCAGTCTCCCAGAAGTATTCTTCTATCAGAAGGCTTCAAGAAATTTCAAAAGAGAATCATACCTCGTAGCGGTTTTTTTTTTTTTTTTGGGGGGGGGGGGCGCAAACAGCAGGAACTTTCATCCATGATGAACTCTACTAAATGAATTATTTTCTTGTTTCTCATGGTCCCATGGAGCCCCAGAAGTCATAGTGGAATGGCTCTCTATAGACACTTTTAAGGCTATCGCATCATTTAAACAGTATCAGAATTGGATTCACATTAACTGTTTACAAAATTTTGAAAACCAGAGACCACATTAGTTAGTAACGAGAAATGAAAACAAAGACTAAGATGGGGGCTGATAGGAGTATGTTGTCAAAGGATATATAACTGGATTTTCCATTGCTCATAGTACCACTGTGTAATAGACTTTGTATCAGACACAACTGTAAAGTTAGCAACTGAAAGTCAAAGCAGTTACGGTGCAGTCACCTATCTCTTTGGTTTTAATGACCCAAAAAGAGACCACATCAGTCATTTTGCAGTATGGAGAAGTCTAGAACAGAGTGGATGGGGAAGAAGTTGAACAGTGTAACTTGATAAGACTGGTTCTGAGGGAGTTAAGGAGAGAGGGTCAGATCTGCATAAAACATGTACCTCGTGAGGGGAATCAGTCAATGTTTTCAAAATCAGACCGAATATTGAGTTGGAAAGGCCAATGGTTCGCATGGTCCAACATGATTGAACTGGTGACGTAATAATTAAATTAAAAAAATTATATGTATATAATAATCTAAATATAAAAAATAAATATGAAATTGCTACTTAACTTAAAAATAAAACCAAATATTTTAAGTTTATTATGACTGAACAAATCATATGATACAATATAACATCAAATGACTAAAAAAAATTATTTGATAAAAAAAATTTAAAAAAATAAAGGAAAAGAAAAAAAGGTATTTTTTAAGCCATTTGGTTTTTAAGAACTGGATCCAATTCCTGACTTGATTCTCGGTTCCCAGTCTAAAAGCTGATCCAAAGCGACCTAATCCAGCTCAACTCTCCCAACAATTTTTTTAGCTTGACCGAGTTCCATTAGCCTAACTGGTCAACAGTCCGACCATTCGCTCCATCCAGTCTAGTTTTTAATCATTAGAATTAGTGTGCTACACACTTACAGGTTACAGCCTGGAGCTTGAGTTGGGGACCCATGTGTGGAAGTCTTGTGGTAAGGGAGGGCTTGATTGTTTTTGCAGACAAATGGGGTATCCAGTTCGAGGGGGGATCGTTTGTTTCGTTTTTTCCTTTCAAGGCTTCAGGACTTGTCTTCTTACCCCGAAAAAAAAAAAAACCTCAAACCCTCGTGCAAATTAGAAAGACCAAAATTACAAGAAGCCAGAAAGTGGTAATGTGCTAAATAACATGCAACTATAAAATCCATTCAATTCATTTACTAAGAAATTTGTGAAAATGAAATGAGAATGAAAATTTAATATAGTTATATACTGCAACCACCATCTATAGACACTGAATATTATTACATCATAATACCGATGTCAAGGTGCTTCCAATTTAGTAACCCATACCCTCATGCTGAAATTAAGTCCAATCACCCCTTGATAGGAAGGATAACAAGGTTAGAATATGATTCTTGAAATGATATTATACTAAAGCCTTGCATTTGTCGGAAGGGGATTTCAAAAAAGAAAGATGCAGAAAGAATTTTTTATTTTGATACATCTAGTTACCAAAGAATTGATGCTTCCTTCACTTAAACCAAGGAAAGGTACTTCCTACCACCCAAAATATATATATATATATGTATGTATGTATGTATTGCCAATCTTACCCTAACTCATAAAACAGTTTGACTATTTTATCCCTTCTTTATCTAAAATATTCAAATTTTAAATTTATAAAAACGACTATTATTTTATATCTTTAAATGTCATTTCTCTTAAAAATGTTAGCCTCATATTTTACATTGAACTAGTGCCCTGATTTTGAATGCTCAACTTCGGTATTCTAATAAAGGGTATTCATATCTCTTGGCTACTTTAGCTCTTTCATGTCCTTTCTTGATTGCTACAAGCCCAACTTCCAATATGAAGGGAGGGGGGATGATTTCTTCCAGCCCACCAAGCACATTTTTGGTCCAAAAATCACATTTCCATGAAAGCATCTCTCCCTTCCCATTCCCCACAAAAATGGTTCCATCCACCCAAACATGGTCTAACAATGGTTTTCTTTTTTTCTTTTTTTCTTTTTTTTTTTTGGGATTATGGATGTCTATTTCAAGAGGTATAATGTATGAAATTATTGGCCGATTTGCCTATTTCACCGTAAAACTTAGACTGGAATTTTCAAGCTTCAATATTCCAAAGGGTGAGATGTCATAGTCTATTTGTCAAGACATATAAGAACAGTATTAAGTAATTAAGAAGGGCTTAAGGTGCTGTTCAATACATAAGAAATATATTTTCTCAACCAGGTAAAATCTATAAGATTTTTTTTTTTTTGGCCAACTATTGTCAAGAGGTTTAGATAAAACAAATATAATAATTTTAAAATTTGTCTTGTATGTCCGAAGTAATATAGGAATAGTATTTTTCAAGTTTGTAATGAGCTGGTTTAGATCAATCCTAACCCGATGATTATGAATTACTTATATTCTATATTACTTTATTACTTTATTTATATACTCATTTAGATTTCTCAGAATTCTCGTTTTATTTTACCTCATTTCATTCATTCAAAACAGAAAATAAAAAAATTCGAATTTATCTAAAAATTTCTATACATTTATATACATATGACTTGATACTAGCGCCCAACCTATGGGCTTTGAAGGGATAGAGGAAGGGAAGAAAACAAAGATGGTCACTCCTTTTAGTTTAGGAACATGGCTCGTTCATTCACTTGCTCATGAACTCGCTGCTTTCTACTTCCCAAGGCATAATGACAGATCGAGAGGCTCGATTAGAAAGAATCGGCGGAGAAATTTTATGTTATATATGGTAATCTTTCGGATATCCGAATTCTATGAGAAACTTACATACATTTTTATGCAAAAAGAGAGAGAAAAAGCGGGTTTCTAATATCACTCCACTCCACATATATTAGTTAATACGGGAAGATAAAAAAATCCAATGGATTTCAATTTTATGCAAAATGCTTTTCTATTTCTAAAATGTCCAATATACGTTTTACATCTTCTATGCGAAGATGTTCCATTTTCATAAGGTCTTCTTGACTGTTATTCAAAAGCTCCAATAATGTATGTATATTGGACCATGTTCGTATAAACATTGGACTGTCTATAAAGTCGTCTAATCTAGCATCAGGTGCCAAAGCGACCTGACAGTACCTTTTTAGGTATGAGAGACACTGGCGCATCCATCCTTGATAGAGAGAGTATTCATTAAAATCTCTCATACCAGGGTAAAAGATAAAATCTCTCTTTGGGGACCATAGTCTCCCGCTCATTTTTTTATTTTACATTTATTTTAAAAGATAAAGAAAGATTGATGAGAAAAACGTCTAAAATAAATTAGTAAAAAAGAAACAAAAAGTATGAAACTCCAATATTTTTTTCTTATCTTAAAATAATAGTATAATGGTAAAGAATGTTGAAGTAAATACAAAATGGATGTATCAAGAAAAAGACTACTAAAAAGTAAAGGGGAAGAATCCGCACGAATCGGATTTTTTGAGGAACATCTCGAGAGAGAATTGGATTTGGTTAGACAATGTTTGGTTGTTAAACAAGGATCGGTTTTTTAGCAAGGTACGGAATGTATCGTCAAATATTCAATATGATTCCACAAGATCTAGACAACTTAACTAAGAAATCATCAGAAGAAGACGTAATATAATTCCAACATGATTACTAGGCTCCTGATCCTACGTTATTGATAAAGAAACCCCAAACCGCCAGTCTGCCACAAATTCCTACTCATAAATCTTAAACCAGGACCACAATCAAAGCCATAATTAATATTGATATTAAATTCTATTTTCCACACTGCACCACAAACTATTTTGCCTCACAGACTATAGTACACATCTCTCAATAGAATCTGATATCCTATAGGTGTATTCACAGACACTCATATGACTGAGGAGCATAAGCTCATTCAATGAGGTTCAACATAAAGATTGTCAGCAACAGAAATAGCATCTAAAAGCAACAAAAAAAAATGGCAAGGACTCCATGATGTCCAAAGCAAAATAACTCGATGTGCCTTTTTATCTGCCTGGTTTCATCTTCTGAGTCTCAATAACCACAAACCATTGACGTAACTTAAAACAGATAGCTAACATCATCCAAATGAGATTAGCATCGGCAATATATCAACCACTAAAAAACAACAGTTTGCATAAACCAGTGTGCAGAGAAAATCTACTTGCAAGAGTCATTGTTGCACTCCAATCATAACTTGACGTTTTCCTGGTTGTTATGTGCCAAAAATTGCCGCAAATACAGATTCAAATAAAAAGTATACTCTCATTCAAAACAGAGTTGAGGCTCCAAATGCCAGTTAGGACAGGAAACATTTGCAATATTTTTATCCCCAAAGGATATAAAATTTCTCAATTTGGAGTGTCCATTTCTGATTTTTCTCTACTAAACCCTCATAACTTGTAGTTCACCTAAGTTTGGTCCCTCCACAATGCTGAACTGGAAATGCGTGGTTTACATGAAGAACTAGATTTGAAATTGACGTGAATTATACACAAATTCAATTGGCTGAATCAGAAACGAAAGGACAAAAACCAGAAACATAACTTTCAGATACCCTCTTATTAGAAAGTTCTCCTTCTCTCACACCTGCCTCTCCCTCTCTCTCCAATAATACAAGCCATTTTTATTACTAGTGATTTGAATCTAAAAATCCCATCACTGAACCATGTAACTGTTACATAGTTCATCAGCTCCCCCCCCCCCAAAAAAAAAACAAGAAGACATAGCATCTTTGGATTAAATTCCATATTTTCCAACTACTTTGTTACTCTGGATATTAACTTTAACGCAACAACCATGTGTTGGAAACAACAAATACCTCTAATCTACAAAGCTTATTAACCGTAATCCTCAATACAAAATAATTAGGCCTTTATGGTATCATAAAACTAAATCCTGAGAGACGAGAATGGTCATTGACCCAACAAAGAATAGCAAACATTAGAAATAACAACACACATGAAGAAACATCAAAGAAGTTTACCATACAAAATGTTTAGTAATCACAATGCCATCGTGTGGATGGAAACACAACCTTTGGATAACCATCAGAAAAAATAGGGGTTACCAGATAACATGTTAAACCAGCCAAAATCATTAAAAAATTGATTTAGTAAGATTAATAATGAACCATTGATTATAGCCATACGGCAACACCGGTCAATTAGGACAAATAGTCCACAATCAGATATAACTAACCTCAGAATTATATAATTAGACACGCTTGTGTTAACAATTATACAGCAAATTTAAAGTGAGAAAACATCCTTCAGCAAGTATAACCATCTATAAGCACATGTAGGTTTCTGTAAACATATAATCAATGACAAAATTACCTGTGTTCGTCTTCTGTCCAAGCAATACCCTTTCGCCGTTCCTGATCTGATCTTGAAGCCTTAGTTCCATGATTAGACTCACTGTTATAATGCCCAGAACCCTTCTTGGCCAAGCCTTCATCACTAGCATGGCTGGTTGACCCCTCTGAAGAAGAATTATAAGAAGGTATAGGCACACAACCAGATTCGATCTGGTTAAGATCCTCAACCAAGAGCTCATAGTGAAGTTTAATCTCTTCTACAGTTTTCCCTGGTACATCAGCTGCAATCTTCTCCCATCGATCTGATGCATCTTCAGGATGAGTTGCTAGGGCATTTTCAAATGCTTTATCTTGCTCTCTGCTCCACACAGAGCTACTACCCACTTCATCCACAGTCATCAAGTCTTGCTTGAACCGACTAGAGTTTTATTATAGTAATAACCAAAAGGTTTCTAGCTAACTGCTCTAAGATCTAGGTTAAACCCATCTTAAATTCCACAAATTCTCCGATTTGCGTGATGGGAAAACAATTCTAGAATATCCCCATGGAGAGCAGTGCTATTAACTTTGGTGATCTGCTAAATAACGGGTGGGGATGAGCGTGATATGTTGGATAATAAGTGCTAGTATAAAGTGACTAATTCCAAGGAGCTGAAGCAGAACAAGAATACTGATAAACTCCCAAAACTCTGAGATAGGCAAGAATTGAATGAAGATTTGCTTCAGAATTCAAAACACACGCGCTCTTGTGAATTGCCAGCCTATAGATGAAAAGAAAAGAAATAAAGTTCAGTAAGAACATGAGAAATATCTGACAACTATAAAGCCATAGATGCAGCAAACGGTGTTTTAAGGCAAGTGAAAACTTAAAAAATAATGTAAATGTTAGTCAATGGGATGGTAATTAAGGCTACGATTTAGATATACGAAAGAGACCTTTCAAATACAAACAAATAAGAAAACCCGAGAAGACTGTAATGGATAAGAAGAGTATTCAAATTTGCTATTTCCCGTTCCCACACCCACCCACAAAAAAATCTCAGTTTACCCAAACACTTCTATTGATAAGAACAGTTTTAACAGCGCAGGACCACAAAAATATATTCTTCCACCATGGATATTAATTTTGCAAAGCTCGTTTCTCACTTTATGCATCCCGCATTCTCATATTCCAAATTCTGTTCTTTATATAACGGCAGAAAATCACGCAAATGAAAACCAACAACGAGACAAATGTTTTGAAAAGAAAAGGAAAAAAAAATTATTGACCGGTAAATAGGTTTTAAGTGGATTCAAAGTGCATTTAAAGCTTCATTATCAATAATGACATCTTTAAGATAAAATATTGAACCCACCAAATATCCCAAATCTCAAAAGTTTTGATCGAACACCAAATTCAGGAAAACCCACCACAGCGTACCTCGGTAAAATTCAATGAAGAAAGCAACAGTCGGACAACAGTAGATTCCATTAAGATAGAGGGTTTATGGTTATTTATCAGGGTTCAAGATCACCAGCAGGTGATTAGAAAATAATCACCTCTTGAAAACACGGGATGCAAAAGCTTAGCAGGGAAACCCTTTTCCTATTGCTATTACTCTGAAGTTTCTGACGCCCTCACCAACAATCAAAAAGATATTTAAGGTCCAACACTAAATAAACTACATTCACAGCCAAGTTAAAAACCTAATCCCGAGCGTGACTGTGAAAGGCTCACTGAAGCACCCAATTTTATGCATAAAATTCTAGCCCACAAAACTCCAGTAATTACTGTTACATCGTACATGATATAAAAAGATGCACAAACAAATTAATCTCAGCCACAGGAACCAGAAGAGTTTAAAAGGAGGGGGGGAAAAAATCAGAATTGGAATGAAAGATAATCTATCAAATAAGTGAGGTTTAAGAAAAAGCCCTAATATTTGATTGAAATTTACGAAGGTAGAACTTAAAAATCAAGAATGACATTGATTGCTATCCTGAAATCCCACAAAGAGGTGCAGGATGGGTCAATTGGTCCCATCCCCAACAACTGCTTTGCTACAAATAGGACAGCTGGGCTAGAAAAAGCCCCACCCCAAGTTGCAAGCCACTGGAATCTGCGGTACCCATTAATATCTGACAGCTGATACAACATGAAGAGAGAGAAGTTGCGGAGCGTCGTGTTTAAAGCAGGAATCAAAAGGTCCGAAAAGTTAGAGAGAGAAACTAATATTGATTTATATTTTTATTCTTCTTCGCCTTATGATTTTCCTTATCCCTAACAAATCGAGAAATAAAAAACAATATCCGAGCTAGAACAATGATGAGATAACAATATTCAAGAATTCAGAGCATCGAGAGACAGAACGATTGAAATGAATGTTTATCATATACGAAGTTTATGTAAATAAAATCGTCACCTCTGTATTTCTCTGGAGATGCCTGAAGGCTTGAATCGATGTTTTCTATTTTCTTTTTCTTCAGCTCTGGCAGAAGCGAGCTGCACATAGTCCTAGTCAAGAATAAATACTGTCTCGTCTTTGATACAGATACGGGGATAAATTTTTACACAGTGAATTGGATAAGCGCTGCAATTTTCCCTTTTCTCTCTTCTCATCTTTGGGATTCTTTTTAATAGATTTTATAAATTTGCTCTATTAATTGGCAAAACAAATTTGCTCTATTAAATGGTTAATTTATATACTTTTTAATATTATTTTTACAAACAAATAAATACGCATGAATAATGAATAATCGCAGTAATCCATCTAAGATTCTGATACATCTCAATCCCTTCTCACTCATACTGCTGTGAACAATGGGAGCTTTGTCCTCCAGGAATAGTTTGAGTGTTGAAATCTCAACACTTGTATATACATTAACTTGATTGAAAAATGATTCATGCCAATTTAAATTTAGTGAATAGTATAAATTCATCCATTCAATGAATGTTCTAGATTGTATGATAGCACCCGTTGATTTAATTGGAATGATTATTAAAAATTTTGTCATATAATACTTATAAAACACCAAATCCCACCTCTTGCATCAAATTGCAATTCTTATAGATGGCTGTTTTGAATCTTTAGAGGAGATAATAAACATGAGGGATTTCCTTTTTTTTTTTTCCCTCACAAGTATCATCTTCTTAAAGACAACTGTATTTGAGGCACTATTAAAAATTAAATATAATTATTTTTTTAATAAAAATTTAAACTTTAATTCATCATGTTGTGAGAAATTAATTTTTTTATTGGGCAGCCCAACCCTCATTGGTGAGAAGGTGTTTTAATTGTAAAGGTTATCTTAAATTTTTGAAAGAATATATATTTTAATAATTTTTAAGCATTAATAAAATCCAGTAATTTTACCAAATAGGTGATCTGATTGGTGGATATCTCTCCATGGTTTGCTAAAGAATTTCATCGGTATGGTTGCTTTATTTGATTGCACTTTGCCTGTCTTACTTATTGTATTTGTCCCCAAAAATTTTTTAAAGAAATTTCATCTAGTGATCGTAATTAAAATACTCTTTGATTTGTATTGCTCACAGAATCCAAATCCGTCTATCATCTGCCTTCAATACTCTTGGGAAATTATTTCTATTGTAAAAGCCCTCTTTTTCTTTGTACTGAGAAAAATCATATTTGTTACTCTGGACTCTTGAGCCTCACTCTCTTGTGAGGGGGGGGGAATCTTTTTTTTTATTATTATTATTCATAGCTATTTTCCTAATCAAAATAAAGAAAAAAATTATTACTCACGTAATTATTATTCAATAAGTTTATTTTTTTAATGAAAACTTAAAAATCATTTTCTATTCGATTTTCTATTGTACTTTTATTTTATGAACCGAATAAAGTCACCTGCAGTGAGAGTAAGATTTACAATTATGTTATTTTTATATCAGAATATGAATGCCTGGAGTAGCCAATGGATTAAATCTGTAGGAAATTATACACTTTTCCAAAAGGACAAACTTCAAATATGTTATTATTGTTTAAAAAAGTATTTGAGGCAACCAGAGAAGAAATGAAAGAAAAAGGAAGGGAGAGGCAAAACAATGATTGCTCACGGGAAGGACAAAAGGACGAAGTCAAGAAAAGCGGCCGAAAACAAAGAAAATTTGAAGCACACCACAACCACCAGCGTAATTCAACCCTGCTTCATCCCCACACTTCTTCTTCTTCTTCTTTTCCTCCCTTTTCCTGCTTGGATCCATATTTTTTGAATCAAAAGCTGAAATTCATTTTTGCTCCCAAAAAAAAAAGCCGGAATTCATTCAACAAAAAAAAAAAAAAAGAACAGTACAATAAACCTAAGACAAATGTAGAGAGGGCAAACTCAATTATCATTCGCCTCCCAAAGTAAAACTAGATGAAACAAGATTAAAGATGCAAAACAAGCTATCCAAAAAACGAGTTTTCCTAACAAAAAAATGAATATGGCTAATAACATTTTAAAAATAAAATTAATTAAAATAATTTAATCTCTATAAAAAAAATAACAAGCTTTTTGAATGATATCATGATAAGGGTATTTTTTCAGGATAACCTTTGGTGATAAGGTTAATAGCTTCATTGCTGTTTGAATAGACTTTCATGTTCTTAAAACCTTTGGACCAACAAAGTTTGAGGATTTCATAAATTTCATATTTCATTCCACGTTTTTGTACTTAAGTTATTTATGTTTCAATTAAAGAATACATCTAAATTTAATCTTCGTAACATGTACTTTGATTTTTTTTCTAAAGGATGTTAATTTTTCATGCATTATATTATATTTTAATAATAGGTTGTATTTGAATGCATAAAATTATATTATTTTTTATTTAAAAATATAAATATACCTTTTCAAGCTTATAAATAAACTTTTATCCCGTTTTAGAATTTTAGACGTGCAGGTTGCAAGGGCAGAGCTTTTTCCCCCAAACCTTGATGGTTTAACTGTGTTATATAATTGGGCTTAGTGTTTTTTTCACGGGAATAGGAGCTGCAAGTTTCACTTTCTAGCCCATTGGAATTTGGTAGGTACAGATGTTTTGTATCTTACTCATTAGAGCATCTCTCTGCGTTGTTTTTTTAATAAAAAAGAGGCCATCTAGTTTTCAAACGATGTTTGGTCGTATTTATGTTCTAATAAAAATTATTCCATGCATTAAAAAATATGTAAAGTTAAATAACCTTTGTCGTCATAAATATACTGTGAAATCCCATCCAATCAATTCAACTCTTCAAGTCCAATGAAATGCATAAATTGCTATCAAGTAAATCCCTGTACAATTATAAAAATACCCTTATATTATATTTTTTAAGAAAATATAAAGTGGTCTTGAGGATTAGAACCCAAAACCACCATATTCCCAAAATGTTTGCCAACCATTTGATCACTTACACTTATCAAGTTAGTAGTGCAAAATTTTATAGATATTTAATAATTGGTGTTATCTTGAGCGAAAATAACAACTTAAGTTTAAACAAACAGCTAGATATATGAAAAAAAAAATAACTTAACAAAGAAAAATAACAATTTAGATATATGGTAAAAACAAATTGACAAAAAAAAAGTAACAACTTAGGTGTTAAGAAATAATAATTTATCAAGGTTGTTATCACTGTTGGTAAAAAATGAAATTAGTGATGGATAAACAAAATTTGTTATTAATTTTAACTTTATTATAGATTATGACATCATTGATTTAGTGACAGACACGAGTCTATCACTAATTTATTTTATAATTAAACATTTTTATAGATTCAAATACTGTCATGTCACTTTCTCATGCTACATCTCAAGTGTACATCAACCCAGTCACTTATCACATCATCGTCACGTTAATAATTTATTTTAATTTTATTTGCATGTGACATTATCAGATCTTGAACTCAAGATCTCCATCTTTTCATTCACACCTTTTGTCAATTGAACTACAATAACTTTTCATTCATAATATGCAAAATTTAATATATATATATATATATATATTAAACACATATACTTAACATTAAATTTTTTGATATATTATTTTTTAAATATGTTAATAATATATATTAATTTATATATACACATTAACACATATAACTGTATAAATTAGTATATAGTAGTTAATAAATATATTATTTAATATCAATATATATTTTATGGAAATAAATATTTTTTATATCATTTTATATTATCTATGTCATAATTAAAATAGTTTTATATGATATAGATTTTATTTTTATATTTAAATTTACATAATAAAATGAAAACATATTTTTTATTTTTTCTACACCATTTTATATTATATATTTTACTCTTAAGAAGAGAATAAATTATTTATGTAATTATTTAATTTGATAACTATTATTATTTTATTCATGTAATTCTTTCCATGTATGTTATAAATTTTTGATTTTTATACAATATTTAAGCATATTTTAATAGTTTTTAATTAAAAATATCCATCACTAATCTATCATTAATATAAAAATTTAGTGACGGCAATTAGTGACAGATTTAAATTGGTCGCTAAATTTATAAAATCTGATCAAAATATGATGACATCATATATCTATTACTAATACATCACTAACTTATGTAATTAGTGACAAATTTTAGTCCATCACAAAATTTTTATCACTAATACCTACAATTAGTGATAGATTGGAGATTTGTCACTAAATGTTAGTCACTAATTTTAACTTTTCTAGTAGTATTTTTTCTTTTGCTAAGTTATTATTTTATATTTTTAGTTGTTATTTATTTAAACACAAGTTGTCATTTCCTGACACCCAAGTTTTTTTTTTCTTGCCAAGTTGTTATACACCTAAACTCAAGTTGTTATTTTCTGACGCTTAAGTTATCATTTTCTTTTGTCAATTTGCCATTTTCGTATACCCAAATTGTTATTTTTTTTTTGCTAAGTTGTTATTTTATATTTCAAATTGTTATTTCTTGACACCCAAGTTATCGCTTTCCATTGCCAAGTTGTCATTTATGTGTCCTCAAGTTGTTATTTTTTTCAAATTATTATTTATTTAAACTAAAGTTGTTATTTCCTTGTACCTAAATCATCATTTTTCTTTACCAAGTTGTTATTTTTGTACACCCAAATTATTTTTTTTCTTATCAAGTTGTCATCTTCATATATTCAAACTATCTTTTACCCACGTTTAAGTCATTATTTTCCTTCATCAAGTCTTCATTTTCGTTTTTCAAGTTGCTATTTTCCCTAAAAAAAGTTGACATTAATTATTAAGTATATATAAGATTTTGCACCATTATTTAAATATGCATACATAACTCAATGGCTACTAAGTATTTTGGAAATTTTATGGTCTTAGATTCTAATCCTTCTAAGACCATCTAGCTCAAAAAAATCCTGCTACCAATCAACCAATAGCGATGGTTAGGAGGTCTTCAGTGGATGAATGATATCTTTTTTTTAAAAAAAATAATGTAAGGTTATTTTTATAATTGTATAGGAATTTGGATTTTTGACAATTTATGCATTCTATTAGATCTAGGGCAATTCAATAATTGAACCAATCTTCCCAAGGCTACCTTCCAAAAAAAAATTCACACCATTAGTTAACTAATAGTAGGGTTGTCAATTAAGGCCGAGTCCATAGGGCCGGCCCTTTTAGGCCTGAAAAAATCGAGGGTCGGCTTCTATTTTAGCTCTAAAAAAGTAAATCAGGCTTAAAAGGACCAGCCTTTTAAGCCCGAAAATAAAAGGGCCGGCCCTTTTAGGCCCTTTTATTATCTTTTTTAAAAAAATTATAATATAAAAAATAAAATATTAAATACATAACTCAAAGAAATGAACATATTAAATGTATTTATCTATCCTCATTTATTTATTAAGATTTAGCTGATAACATTAGTTAAGTTTAATTTTTATTGGTATTCATTTTGATGTTGCTATTTGATATTAGACCTAAATTTTTAGTTTTCTTTATTGTTGTGGTGTAAATTAATTTAAATTTATTTTCTTACACTTAACTTTATAAATAATACCTTTTTTTATGATTATAAATATATTTTTTATAATTTTTAATTGAAAAAATAATTTTAAAAAAATAGGGCTGAGGCTTTGAGGGCCGGCCCTTTAATCTTGAGGGCTAAGGTCGGGCCTTATAAAATGAAACCCTGACATATAATCAGGTTTATTAAGGCCAACTCATTTAGGCCTAATCCTTCAAGGGCTGGCCCTTTAAAGTTAAACTGGTCCTAATTGACAGTTCTAACTAATAGTGGTCGATGGGGGATGAATGATATATTCTTTTTATAAAAAATAACGCAAGAGTAGTTTTTGTAATTATTAGGGATTTGGAACTTGATAATGATTTACACATTTCACGAGAATTGAGAGTAATTGAATTGATTGGTTGAGAATTCACAATAATTCCCCCTTATAAATAAGGGACATAGTTTATAGTGAGTTGCATTACCAACAAGTTATAAATAACGCAACTCATCCTAAAATATGTGTAAAAAATGTTAAACAAAAAGATTAATAGTACTATTCTTATTTTAAATTATAAGATATTTTTTAAAAGATTTGGCGTTCTAAGATATAAAACACATAAATAAAAATAATATTTCATTTATAATTTTTTTAATGTTATTTTTTCCATTATATTTTATTTTTTAATATTATTTGATTAATGAAGTGTTAAATGAATGTTATTTTTAAAAATTCATATTTTTATTTTAAAAAAAATAATATTGTAAAGTGTACTGAGCTTTAGTGGCACGTGCATTTTTATCTGTCTTACAAATTAAAACTGGAGGGTTATTAGCGCACAAAAAAAAAAAAAAAGGAACACAGCACAGATCAGTTACACTAGAAATCTTCCAATTTGAAATCAACTTTGCCACTCAAAGTTGAGCCGGTTGACATAATTTGCATGGTTCAGAACTGTGAGTCCATTTGGAAACGAGCATTTAATTGCGCTATCGCTGATTCCATTGAACCAAATCACTGGTCTATCATTTTTCACATCCATTGGTACAATAATTAAAATAAATGGAAACCGTGGATGGAGTCGATATTTGATAATCAAATAAGCAGTCAGGAATATTAAAATGACCCGATGGCTCAGATGTTTTTGTTTTTTTGGATGAAAGGTATGCTTCATTAAATCAAAAGAGTAACTGTACAGATGTACTTTTATTTTACGAGTTGTAGAGCATTCAAACGCGCAAATATAATATTTTTGAAGTAATCTTGACCTGATAAACCTGATACGGCACATATTTTGTTAAATTTAATAGCTATTAATGGCAGATGTCTAAAACACGAGGGCGTAAGTTATAGACTGCTGAATTCGGGAGAGTTTATATTAGATGCAGTTAATTCAAAGCCTGGACTTCGGAGGAGTTTTGAATTTTAGCTTCATTTATATAAAACAAAATTGTAGTAATTCTGGTTACCAGCAACTACTATATCACAACAGCATTCCCAAGGTTTCTCAGATTTTTTTTTTTTAATAAAATTTGCCCATGGAATCGAAGCAAAGGGAGCAGAGGAGAAGGCAAAGTCGTGCCCTGTGACGGATCTGGCCATCTCTGCCTTCTGTCTAGTCAGCTCATCCTGATCTCGGAGCAAGTCCAACTCGTCAATCCTTATTCCTGTCCCTTCCCTTCCCTTTCTCGTTTCTTGGTCTCTCTTCTCAATTCAATTCACTGCTCCTTCCGTATCTTTCTCATATTACTCTCTTTAAAGGAGGGATCAACCATCAATGCAATGGGGAAGGCCTCGATAATCATGTATGTGACCGCGGCAATACTCCTCCTATTGTTTCTCTCCTACTCCCCGAACAAGCACCCGAGCCATCGCCATCGCCGCCTCAAGCTTCGTTCCAACTTCACTTTCACCGCATCTCCTCATGTCTCCCAACACCATGAGCACGTCGCTTTCGACCCAATTGTCGCTGAGATCGAACGCCGCCGTGAAGAGAAGCAATGGGAAAAGCAGTACTTTGAGCATTCTCACTCCGAATTCGTACCGCACGACTCTGCCCCCGGGGAGGAGTCGCAGCCCGAGTGGGAGGATTTCATGGATGCTGAAGACTATTTGAATGACGAGGACAAGTTCAATGTTACCAATAGGTTGATTTTGCTCTTTCCCAAGATTGATGTGGACCCGGTTGACGGGTTCGTCAGTGAGCACGAGTTGACTGAATGGAACTTGCAGCAGGCCGAGAGGGAGGTTTTGCATCGGACGCAGAGAGAGATGGAGATTCATGATAAGAACCATGATGGATTTGTTTCATTTTCCGAGTACGAACCGCCTAATTGGGTTCGCAATGCAGGTTCTGTTTCTAATTCTGACTTTTGCTTGTTCATTTGGCACAAACAATCTGCCTATTTGGTTCCCCTTTCAAATTTCCTTTCCAGATTTCCTTGATGGCTTCGTAACTTTTGATATTGTTTACGTTAGCGTTCTTCGTTTCTTATAAAATGTGGCCATAGTGGAAGCTGTTGTGACTTTGGTCCTGTAAACTTTTCTCTCGAATGCTTCTTTCTGTACCTTTTTCAGATAACAATTCCTTCGGTTATGATATGGGTTGGTGGAGAGAAGAGCATTTTAATGCTTCAGATGCTGATGGAGATGGGCTTCTAAACTTAACTGAATTCAACGAGTGAGCTCCTGCTTGTTTGAAACCCTTTCTCTATGCATCACTCCTACTTGACCATTCTTTTCCCTCAATGCCAATGCTTTTTCTTTATTTAATATTTTTGTGATCTTGTAGCTTCCAGCATCCAGCTGACAGCAAAAACCCGAAGCTACTTCAATGGTTGTGCAAGGAGGAAGTGAGGTGACTTAAATCTCATGATATGGCAGCTTTTATATCTGTTTCTTTGGGAGCATTTGCTTTTGCATCTAACATTCTGGTCAATTGTGATGTTTATGCCCTTTCTTTTCTTGCTGATGTCCGTAGTTTTAAGACTTAATTTCTGTTGTCAAAGCTTGCATTTTCACTTTCACTAAAAAGCATCTTTTTTTAACTAAGTTCTTTTATTTTGGGAGACAAAACATTTTTCATCCACAAGATCACTTCATTCCATTTTCGTTTTCCTTTCTATCTCCTTTTGTGGACCAAAAGGTAGCTTTTTAATGTTTTTATTTTACCTGTCTAAGTCGTTAAAACATGGCATGTGCAATTGAACTGGCCCTCTCTCCAAACAGCTCTTGAAAGGATGTACTTGTTACCATCCTTTATTATAAGAATCCCTATCATGTAGTTTTGATGTAAAGATTGAAAGCCAGCAATTTTTGTGAGAAAGTAATTCTATAAATTAGATGGAGACGAAGAGAGGAAAAAGATGAGTCAATGATGCAAAAGTTAAAGGTTTGAAGCTTATCTATACGCTTTCATTTATACATGATGCTAGGGTGAATATCAGAAAATTATAGATCTACCAATGAACTAAAAACTACTCTTTATTTCTTGCTCTCATTTTGCTTTTTGAGTAATCAATCAAGTCTTGATTTCTTTTGGCAGCACAAATTCATGTAACCTATAACCATTAGAATGAAAATTTTCAGTCCTAGTGAGTTTTCACTGTTAACATGATTACTGACAAATGGTAGATGTATGGTTTCGGCACTTTTACTTGTCATGGAGGATTATTTTGTATAATGCAGTTGATTTCCCCGGTTTTTTTTTTTTGTTCCAATATTGGTAAGGTGGCAAACATTTATAGTTAATATTTTGTCCTGGCGCAATTCAGAATCTTTTTTTTTTTTTAATTCGGAATATCAGGGTCATCTTTTGAATTGCTTATTGTAACACTGGCTTCCCTCGTTCTTGATTACTTTTCCTGTGTTTTCCTTTAAAGGGAGAGGGATACAGACAGAGATGGGAAGATCAACTTCAAAGAATTCTTTCATGGGCTCTTTGATTTAGTAAGAAACTATGATGAAGAAAGTCATAACTCTTCGCATCATTCTGATAATTCAATGGATGGTCCAGCTAGAGTTTTGTTTGGTCAGCTTGACAAAGATGGTGACGGGTATTCATTCTTTTTATTTTCATCAGTAGCAATACACCTTTCAATAATTGTGTTTTTTTCTCTTTATAATGTCAATCCTCGTCGATGTCTTTTGTCAACCTTTTGCAGGTACTTATCAGATGTTGAACTACTGCCTATAATTGGAAAAATCCATCCGTCTGAGCGTTATTATGCGAAGCAGCAAGCAGATTATATCATTTCTCAGGTATGGAACCTAATCTGAAGATGATTATACTATTAGTACCGACAAAGGTGTCAACCTCTGTGATGTCATTTTGACATGGAAATAAGTTTTTGTGTTGCTGGTATGGCATTCCAGGAATTATATCTATAAGTATTTTCTGAAGCTGGCATTTCATATATTCTACTATGCCTAGGTGAATTTACTTTGAGACGATTTTTTTTTCATGTACATGAAGGTTTCAAACTTTCAATGTACACAACCAGTCTTGGTGAAAAATTTCACTGTCTGATGGCATGGTTTGGTCCATGCGACCAGTCTCGGTTGAGTCTATAAGTTTTTCCTTTTGTACTTAGGCAATTTATGCTTATTGACTTGCCAATACTATCCTTCATATATATATGTATAAACTAATTTAGCATTAGTTATGTTGATGGGGCAATGATATCCCAATCCATACATCAATATTCTGTAATTTCCAAGGATTTCAAATTCTCATCAGAAGAATTTCTTTTTCACATGCGTGTGGATGAGCACTGCATGATAATTATTGCAGTAGATAGTAGCGCATTTGTAATGATGCAGCGTGGTAGATGCACTTCGACTGTCTTTCTGTGGCTTTGTTTTTTCTCTTCTGCTTCTTCAAACTGTCATTGATGATTATTTGAAAGTGTAACATAATGATAATTTTATAATTAAACAATGCAACAATGCTATGACAGGCAGATGTTGACAAGGACGGGCGCCTTACGTTGACTGAGATGATTGAGAACCCATACGTATTTTATAGTGCTATTTTCGAAGATGATGAAGATGAGGATGATTTCCATGATGAGTTCCGTTAAGTTCATTTTAGGTACGCACAGCTCTTCCATTTCCATCTGTTTTGTCTGTACCTCTATCTATTACTTTCCTTGAACATAGAAATTTTGACTTCCCATTTCCAGGATACACAATTTTTTTCCCCTATGGGGAATCATTTTGAACTTGTCCCCTCCGATCCGGTGGCAACATGTTTGCTTCATCCCTTTCTTATCTTCGGGGACTTCGTGGTTGTTGGCGGAAGTCACATTGGATCTGTTAGATGATTGTAGTAATGTCAACTTGATATAAAAATTTGTCGATTTTCACATCACTGATTGAATTACAGCACACGAAAATCTGATCCCTTTGTCAATGGATAATGTATGTACCATATTAAGTATTGCGCCCTCCTGATCTGATCAAAGTAGCAGTATCATTTTTCTGGCTCCAAGTAGCTGTTCCAGTTTGTTTATGGCTGCTCATCCTTTTTTGTCCTTATTTAAGCATCAAAATTTTATAGATTTAGCCCTCTTGGAAGATGTATGCCCGTCAATAAATAGTTGTTCCTGTAGATTCTGGTTACAGGGTACAGCCGTTTTTAATTTGCCACAGTAACAATCTCCTTCTAAGTGCATTTTCTTCGATTTATATACATACTCCTCTAGTTTTATTTGTAAGATATCTTTGAAAAATAATTTTTAATATATAATATAAGACACTTTATAATAATTAAATTTTTTTAATTTTATTATTTCTTGATTAATATGAAAGTATTTAATGTAGTTATATCATTATTGAAAATATTTAATATAGTTATATCATTATTGAAAGTTAAAGATAAAAATAAAAACATATTATTTTTTATAATATGAAGAAAAGAACTAACTTTTTTTAAAAAGCTTAAAATATTTGATAGTGTCTTGTACTAATCGAGGGGAATGTATATAACCTTTTATAAAATATCTTCTTTGATCACAATAATTGTTTGCTTAATCATATTTCTTTTGTCTCAAATTGTAATACACTTTTGAATAAAATCTTACACATCAATAAATTTTATTAAATACACTTAATAATTTTATTTTTTTAAAATAAAAATATAAATTTTTAAAAATATATGTCATTTAATATATTGAAAAAAAAGAGATGTAAATTAATTATAGAAAAAGAAAGGATAATATTAAAATTGATGCATTTAATAAAATTTTAATTTATTTACAATATTTTTATATTTTGAAATAAATTTTTTTTAAAAAAATATCTTATAATTTAAAACGGATGTAGTAACTCTTTGGAATTTTGTTGTGTCAAGAAATAATTATAACTCTTTGGGGTATGAACGTCCATTTCCCTTGTATCGACATTACTATCAAATCTCAATACATTCAATATAAAATATAACATTTATCTGCCTGTTTGGATAGTCTCAAAATCGTTTTTTTTTGTTAAAGTTATTTAAACACCCAAAAGATTTGAGAATTAATTATTGAGCTAGAATCACATTTTAAAATAAGCTGTAAGGTTGTTTGTTGATTTAATTTTATTATTAAATAATATATTTTACTTTTTAAATAAAGTTTAACAAATTTAATAATATTAAATACAATTTTATCAATAATTTAATTTTAAAAAATAATATCCTTTATAATAATTTATATAGATAAAATTAATTTCAATATCTAAAGAGATTATGTTATAAAATAATCAATTATAATTAAAATTAATTATATTAATTAATTATTTTTACAATCAATTATATACCATTGAAATTCAAACGGGTCCTATAATAAATTATGCTATTTATAATAAAATTTGTTTTTTCAAAGTCGTTCGCTGCATGGGGCCTACTTAGAAGATAGAAGAATATTTATCTTGAAAATTGTATTTCTTATAAAGAAAACATAATAAAATTACTTCGCTATCGTTTCATATTTTTATGAGATTTGTTACAAAAAAATTGTAACAAAATATTTATTTAAGTCCAAATTATATACCTGTTTAATTTCAACGTTATTTTGCTTGATTTGTTGGTATTGGCAAATAGGAAAAAGTATTAAATTCAATAATGTAATAAAAAAACTGTTTAAAATTATAAATATTATAAAAATTTATTTAAAATATATATGGTAATGAAATTGTTCAAGTCAGGTATAATTGCAGTCGTGAATACGGGTTGCATGGAATGAAGCTGCTTCGCGCTCCGAGGGCATTAACGGGTAGAATGCAACACTGCAAATCTCTTGATGTAAGCTTTGATTGTGTCAGATTTTAGCGTCTGATCGTATCTTTTCCTCTCCTTCGGTAAATCGTCTCATCAATCCTCTCTTCATCATTCTCTTCCCCTCGCTTTGTCGCGGTGGGATAAATGCGATGGGCAGAGCATCGATCTTCCTCTATCTCACTGTAGCACTCCTACTCCTCGTCTTTCTCTCCCACTCCCCTAAGAAACTCCCTGGCCATCGCCACCGTCGCCTCAAGCTTCGCTCCAACTTCATTTTCTCCTCTTTTCATCGTCCTGTCGCTTTCGACCCCCTCGTCGCCGAGATCGAACGCCGCCGTGAAGAGAGGCAATGGGAAAAACAGCTTTCTTACAAAGATTTCGCTGCCGATGACCCTGCCCCTGGGGAGGAGTCTCAGCCCGAATGGGAGGATTTCATCGACGCTGAAGACTATTTGAATGACGAGGACAAGTTCAATGTTACCGATAGGTTGATTTTGCTCTTCCCCAGGATTGATGTAGACCCGACTGATGGGTTCGTCAGTGAGCACGAGTTGACTGAGTGGAACTTGCAGCAGGCCCAGAGGGAGATTTTGCATAGGACCAAGAGAGAGATGGACGTTCACGACAAGAACCATGATGCGTTTGTTTCATTTTCCGAGTACGAACCTCCCAGTTGGGTTCATATTGCAGGTTCTGTTTCTAATTCTGATTTCTAATATTAGAACTATAATTTTTCGTCTTTATTGTTGATGAAATGTGGAAATAGTGATATTTTCTTCCGAATCTAATAGTCTAAACCAATAGCTGGGATTATTATTTGCCTTAGACAGTTTGTGATATTAGTACCTTAATTTACGGTTATTGACTATTAGTTCTCTAGCAAATAATTTTGCTAATGTTAATTTTCACTAGTTCTCACATATATTTTCGCCATAGTGGTGACTGTTGTGATTTTGGTCCCTTTAACAGATAATGATTCTTACGGTTATAATATGGGCTGGTGGAAAGAAGAGCATTTTAACGCGTCAGATGCAGATGGAAACGGTCTTCTAAATTTAACTGAATACAATGAGTGAGCTTCTGCTTGGTTAAAAATTTAAAGCATTAGTTTATATAAGTCGATGATTTTCTTTCTTTCTCCAATGCTAACGCTTTTCCTTAAATTTTATTTTCGTTATCTTCTAGCTTTCTGCACCCAGCTGACACGAAAAGCCCAAAGCTACTTGAATGGTTGTGCAGGGAGGAAGTAAGGTGACTTAAATCTCATATATACCCATGACAGCTTTTATAGCAGTTTCTTTGAAGTTATATCTATCTTTCTGGTCATGAATGCATTTTCTCTTTGTTAAACTTTTGTTCCCCAATCACGTTACATCATGCAGATTATTTTCTTCCTCCTTCCTCCTCATTTTCCATTTTAAATTGTTTTTTCTTACTTGTCCACTGCACCAAAAAATTAACATAGAATCTGAATGAGTGGTTGCCTATATACTGCTCCAGTTCTTAAGATAATATTGGACAGCTTTTTTTTTTTATTCTTAGTATAAGACGAAGTTAGAGTAAATAATGTTTTTTCCCCAATTTTATCCCTTGTATATTTATTGTCATTGGAATTATTAAACAACAATTTATTATATTCATTAATTACATAGATTGGAAAGTTAACATATTTTTTTTGCAGTTTCAAGGTTTAACTTACATTTCTTAATAAGTGCAAAATTTGTCTGTCTTATTTTAGGGATAGGAGGAAGTATTTATCTTCACCATGCCATACTTTCTCTTTTAAACAGGCCTTCAGTTATTTGTTCATAGTTTTTTTTATTATTGTATTATCATGGTAAATTGGTGGACCTTAGAGTTTTCTGTGTTATTAATCTTAGTCATCAAGATATGGTATGTTAAAAAAAAAAAAAAAAAAACTCCCCCAATATTGCTCCCTCTAAGTGACATCTTTTATGAGGGGGGGCAAACATTGACCTTTCATTAGAGAGAACCAATAGTGCAGATTTGTCTCTCTCATCTCTCATAACGAACACCCCCCTCATGTTGTTTTGGCGGGAAGAGTTGAAAATGAGAAATTATGGAAAGCGAAGGTAATTGTAGAAATATAGAGCAAGAAAGAGTGCAACGAGAAGCGTAAGTGCATGTAGCATACTTTAGATACTAATGTTAGGAAGAATGATATGACGCACAGCATAAAATTTCATCAACAAACTGATTTCTGATCCTTCATTTCATGCTCACCATAATGACTTTTGGGGTAGTCAATCAAATTTTAGCCCTAATAATTTACTGTAGCTCAGAAGGTGTAAATAATTTATTCTTTACTTCTGAAACGTCAACTTGTGCAATGTAGCTGCTTATGGCACTGTCTTGACAATGCATGTTGATTTTTTTATATTAGCTTTCCTTCCTTTGGTTTACAGCCTCTTAGCTCATAATAATGATTTTTTGCTCTCCAGTCTCGTTGACACTTCTTGGATGATTATTTTCCATAACGAGAGTAATTTTCATGGTTACATTTGTTCCAGATATTTGTAATGTAGAAAATATTTGAAGTTAATCTTTTTTTTTTCCTGAAGCAATTTAGAAATTTTCAATTTAATTTCTCATTGCCTTGTAATATCTCTATCTAGCCTTATTCTTGATTTCTTTTCCTTCTTTTTTCCTGTTCAGGGAAAGAGATACAGACAGAGATGGAAAGATCAACTTCAAGGAATTTTTCCATGGGCTATTTGATTTGGTAAGAGCCTATGATGAAGAAAATCATAATGGTTCACATTATTCTGCTGTTTCAGTGGATGCTCCAGCTAGAATGTTGTTCAATCAGCTTGACAAAGATGGTGATGGGTATCTGATTCTTGTCATTTTCATAATAAATGTGGTTTTTAAGATTCCAGTAGCCTCTTTAGTATCACGCGTCTTTGATATTTTATGTCAATTTTTCTAGACACTTGTCAGATGTTGAACTGCTACCTATAATTGAGAAAATCCATCCACCTGAGCGATATTATGCAAAGCAGCAAGCAGATTACATCATTTCACAGGTATGGACTTCAACTGGTGGATAGTTACATTCTCATTGGCGACAACAAATTTGTCAATTCTTTCTTGCTTAGACATGCAAATGAATATTTTGTTCTGCTGATATGGCATTGCATGAATTGTATCTGTTAGTGTTTTTCGAGATGCATGTTCTTACTGAACTCTGGTGTATTTGCCGTGAGATGGAAAGTTTGATCATGTTTAGTTCTATGTTTTCTATATAGCCAACATTACTTGTTGGTCCTGAAGGCTTTTATTTCATCACCACTTCTGCTTTGTTATTGTCATTTGAAATGAGTTCTTCTCTATCTCGGCCTGCGTCACTGGTTTAAGGCATCATTTGGTACACTTTACAAGTCTTGGGCGAGTCTGTTAATTCTGCTTTTCTCTGCAATGTTTATTAACTTGCTGATATATTCCTTAATTTTTGCATCATCTGCTTATTTATGTTATCATTTGCGTATGTGTAGATCAATCAAACAATTAATTTAAATTGATGTATCCAACATACTGATTTGGTCTGTAGTGGCTTATGATAGCAAATTCCCATGTCAAGAGCTTCTCTTTACAACTCGTGCAAACACAACATGATAATATCACCAATTGATAACAATAATACAACTCTAATGTTGTAGTTTGGTAGCTACTTCAGGGTCATTTGGCGTTTAAAAAACTGGCTGCAGCTTTTAATAATAATTAAAAAAAAGATGAGGACAAAAATGACTAAAGTTAGTATTTACTGCTTTTATCCTCATTTTTGTAGCTACAAAATCTTTTATGACTACTTACAAGTGTAACTCATACAAGAACTCTATCATTAAACAACGTAGTAATAATGTTATGACAGGCAGATGTTGACAAAGATGGGCTCCTTACATTGGCTGAGATGATCGAGAACCCGTATGTATTTTACAGTGCTATTTTCAGTGATGATGAAGATCAATATGATTACCATGACGAGTTCCGTTAGATTCATTTTTAAGGTCAGCTGTTCCATCTGAGTTATTAATTGCCCTTTTTCTTAACCAAGTGTTTTTTCCCCTTTTTCTTAACATTTGTAAATTATAATAGTCATTTGCAGGATCTACAAAAAAATTGAGCAGAATTCAAATATCTTTTTTAAGGATCTGGAATTAAAGGACAGATTTAAGGTTTTGGCCCTTTCTGGTCTCAAAACTCTAGTGAGGTTCTATGCAGCAACAATATTATTACTTCCTCATTGTCATCTTCAGGAGCTCTTGCCGATTTGCTTCCCCATGGCTCGTGGTGGAGCCACATCTTGATCAGAAAGATAGTCACAGTTACTATAACACACCGGTTGTCAATAGATAATATATGTACTGTATAACTGCAATGACCTTCATGATTAAAGTAGCTGTATCATTTTTTGTCCCCCCCCCCCTCTTTCTTTTACTTGCCAGGCAGTAATTCAGCTAAAAAGGTCGTAGGATTGCTTTCAGATTTTTGAATACATGTTTTATTGATTTTAGGTTTTGGCCTCAAGTTGCAGGGAGATTTGCTTATTTGATTTTGTTTTCTGTTTCTATGTTCCTTAAACAATTTTATAGAGTAATTTTGTAGAGCAAGATTTGGAAACAAAAAGTGAAAAAAATCTATTTGGATCATTATTCTCAAAAACATAACTAAAGTGGTAAAATAAAGGGTAAATGAATTATTTATTTTATTAATAGAATTATCATTAATGAAAATATGATATTTTCTATCTTTTTTCTAGTTTTGTAAAACAAAGAAAAAGTAACGAAAAATAAAAAAAATGTTATGGTTTTTTAGTTTTTAAAGACAATTTGTGGCTTTTTTTTTTTTTTCAAAGATAAAATATATTTGTAAACAGATTTTTTCATTCTTTACAAAGTAAGTCAACAATCTTCAACACTCCATGACAGATTTACCATCTGCGATCATATACCTCAGGATATTTATCTAGGAATTTTTTTTTTATGCTCTTTTGATCGAGTTAAGTTGTATGAATCGCAGGACTAAAAGGAAATGTATGACGGAGTGAGAGCGCTTCTTTAGCTCCACAATAGAACCATAAATCCACATAACGCCTTCACTGTCGATGTAATTGAGAAAGAAATGGAGTTGCGCGTAACTCGTCATCCATAACGGACCAACACAATCGTGGCCTCACCTTAAAGCTTATATACCCCCAACATTCACTAATAACAGTTATCTCATGACAAATCTACACAACTTTCGTTTCCACTTGCTGCTTCCATCATTTCTATTGCTCCAAGGAATTGTGAATCAAAATGAGAGTTAGCATGCTCTTGCTCCTTTTTTTTTTTTCCTGCTCAGATTAAAGTAGGAAATAGAAATGATATTTCCAGTAAGGAACAAAGACACAGGATTAGCAAGCTGCATGTTTGATCACTGTATATGGCCGCTGAGAGGTGTGGGCTAGAATGATCCAAGTGTGTGAAGGAATGTTACGTGGAGCTGAATAGGCAGTACAAACAAAGAACAAGATATTGCCGCGGAATCCCCAGGTAGCAACATGCAAAACTGGGACCCTTCCCTTCCAAGATCCTGCCATTTTAGCTGCAACACCCAATACCCTCCCCTCTCTCTTTCATTGTTCAAATCACTATTCCTAATCACTCTTCATAAAACTTTGTAGTTCATTTCGTTCCCTTTTACTTCTCCCCATTCCCATCTTTTTTACTTTTTGCCCCTTTCTTTTTCTTTTTATTGCTCCCACCATCCTTTTCTCCACTGTTCTCCCTATTTTGATTTGATTCCGTTCTTCAGCCAACGCATGAGAATAACAATCCAGTTTTTTCATAAATTTTAATGAAATCAATCTAAATTCCATGGTTTATTCTGAAATATCGTGCAATTGACTGACTTACCTTTAAAAGTTGTTAAAGGACTGAATTTTAAGCCTCTCAAAACTATTGAAAGATTAACTTGTGCTATTTTTTTTTAAATAAACTTAAAAATACAAATATTAATACGGCAGTTTTTTCAGTGAAGCAGTGCAGAAGCCACTTTACTGGGCAGCGGTGGTAGTGGTGGAGCGAAATCATGGAGTTCGACGTCCCAAAATTCCTATGTTTTCATCTTTCGTTGCTTATTCTAGTAGCATCGTCCTCCATTGAAGCTTCAGACTCATTTTCATTATCATCTTCGGCAGCAGAAATCATATCGAGGTTCCAGCAATACCTTCAAATCAACACTGCCCAACCGACCCCAAATTACTACGAAGCCGCCGATTTTCTCGTCTTCCAAGCCAAATCCCTCTCCCTGGAATCTCAGACCATCGAATTCGTCAAAGGGAAGCCCTTGGTGTTGCTAAAATGGCCTGGCACAAACCCTGATCTTCCTGCCATTCTTCTCTACTCCCACACCGATGTTGTTCCGTCTGAGCTTTACAAATGGATGCACGACCCCTTCAGTGCTCATATTGACCAGAACAGAAATATATACGCCCGAGGCTCTCAGGACATGAAGTGCGTTGGGATGCAGTACCTCGAAGCTGTTCGCCGCTTGAAGGCTTCTGGGTTTCAGCCCCTTCGCTCTATCTACCTGTCTTTTGCTCCTGATGAGGAGATTGGTGGGCATGATGGTGCAGAGAAGTTTGCTGAATCTGAGGTTTTTGAGAATTTGAATATCGGCGTAGTGCTTGATGAAGGTCATTAAATATGGATTCTTATTATTGTTTTTGGATTGAATCATAGCATTAGATACTGGCTTTTACTAAATGAAGTTCCTTTTTTTGCTTTTCAACAACTGATGGTCTTTATTGGCATCTACGCCTGATTCTAATTACAGGACTGGCTTCCCCGGACGAGAATTACAGGGTATTCTATGGTGAGAGGAGCCCGTGGTGGCTGGTAATAAAGGCTACTGGAGCACCAGGGCATGGGGCAAAGCTTTATGATAACTCTGCCATGGAAAATCTTTTGAAGAGTCTGGAAAGTATAAGAAGGTTTCGTGCTTCGCAGTTTGATATGATCAAGGGAGGCTTGAAGGCCGAAGGCGAGGTAGTTTCAGTTAATATGGCCTTTTTAAAGGCAGGAACACCATCCCCAACCGTAAGTCAATGAAACTTGGAGCATGTGTATCATTGGCATGTGATTCTATTTATGGATACACACTATCACCATCAGGTAAATGTATAATAATATATCCCTTCATTGGGGCATCTGATTATCGGGTACTCTGAGAGAGATGAAGTTGCTTTTGGCTGGTAAATGATGTCAAAATACTGGAGTTTGCCCATTCTGAACGCCACAATTCCACTTCTTGTTATTGTATAGATTTATTTACCATATAAGCATGTTATTTTGGTGGAATCTCCTGCAAAACTCTGAGAAGATATGCATGCTAGTCACTTGAAACTTGGGCACGTGCATACTCCAATTCAAAGGATTGGTGGGGTACCCTCAGCGCGCCAGGCTATATTTGGTTTAAACACTTTTTCTGGAATATCATAGTTTATGTATTTTATTTTCTCTCAGACCAGAGTGGATATGCATGATTTTCGGTTTCCGTCATCTCCCAGGGCTTTATCATGAACTTGCAACCTTCAGAAGCAGAAGCTGGGTTTGATATTAGGGTGCCACCAACTGCTGATCCAAAATCATTGGAGAGGCGGATTGCTGAAGAATGGGCACCTGCTTCACGTAATATGACATTCTGGGTAATTAACTTATTTTGTGCTCAATGTTTAAATTTTATCTGTCATTAAAATTACTTACACAAAAGGGACAATTGTTTTGCTTGTCTCTTTCCTGCAACTGCAAGCTTAGGAGATATTCTAATGACTAGGTTTAGATTATTAAGAACTTATGACTATTGTATAAAAATTTATTACTCCCTCCGGTCCAAAATATTAGCATTTTCCCTCAGCTAATCTTAGTTTAAAATATAAACAATTTAGTACATGTGAAATCCCCCTCCCATTTTATCCCTTGTATTTATTAACCTAGATCCTTGGGTAAATTTATCTCTCACTCATCATGACGAAATGTATTGGTAATTGCAATTAAAGGTAAAAAAGGAAAACAATATATATTTTTATGATAATGAGGACTTTATTGGTATGCAAATTTTTCTTAAAAACTGTTTATATTTTGGACCAGAGGGAGTATGTTGCTTTGATCCCTGTCATCTTTTGCTACAATCTCAGTGAGGAATTAATGTAATGTGACATACAGATGTGTGTTTTGATCTAGAACAAGGAAATGGACAACATAGTAACAAAAAACTGAATTCAAATTATCGCTTTCCAGTTACTAAGCTTAAGTGCCAATAAATGTCAGCCATAAAATACAAAGTGGTTTATAATAATAATAAATAGAATTTGTGGAGTGTTTGGATTAATGAGGATGAGGATTTGGATTTGGACCAAATCCTTCATTTGGAGACACAAAAGTTTATGAATTTAGATTTGATTCAAATCCAAATTCATTTCAAATTATAATTCTTTTGTAATTTAAAGTTTCCTCTACACCTTTGTTAATTGAAATTCTAATCACTTCAAACATCTTGTTCTCTTTGCATTTTCACTATTGATACCTTTATAATTTTTATATTTTTCTCATCTCTTATTGATTAAAAAATAAAAAATAAACTTGTCATTTTTAATTTTTCATTTTGGTTTTCAATCTCAGTTCATCTCTCTTGGAATTTTTTAAACTATCTAAACAAAGGTAAAAAACATGGATTTCAAATGTGAAAAATATAAATTCAAATCCATCAATCCAAATGCTACCTTAAAGGATTTGATAATTCTCAGGTAAAGATACCTTGTAAATTTGAAGTTTGTAACAATGTAAAATGGCTTCCAATAGCATGGTTTTGCTAGTTCTACACTCTATTTTTCAAATTGTAGATGAAGTTATGTTTTGATTGCCCACAACCTAGCGCAGGCGCACGCACACACACACACATATAAAAGAAGGATTGGAGTGTTGGATAGGAGTTATTTTACTGCGTTGGATTGTCAGCTTGTTTAATCATTCCCTTTCCATTGAGGCGACCAGTCCATATCAAGTCCAGATTAGGAAGCTTGGTTATGTCATTTTGGCCAATTGAAATCTGGTCACTAGATCTCGAATGATTTTTGTTCGTGTTTGTTTGTTTAAAATATCATCATGGGGTTGTGACTTCATGCATAGTTCGTCTGTTGACTGCATTTAACTGTCTATGAACTATGAAATGTGGAAACAGAATAGAAACAAAACTTAAAATGATCTCATGGAGTTTGTTATCCATAATCTTAAAATGATCTCATGGTTCATTTTTAGAGTTTGGTTACGGGGAGTCAAATGTAGTATCTTGATAACCTATAACGTCATATTTATTGAAGAAAATTTGTAAACTAGACATTTGAGGTATTTTGGGATTTCGTCCTTCTCTCCAAGGACTAGGAAGAGGAAGGGGGAGTCAAGTGTAATGTAGGATTCAGCCTTGTGGCTTCTGAGTTTAATTGTTAACCAGGAAAAGGAGGCAATAAAAACAGCGTCAAAATGATGCGATTTAAAATCTAACATCACATGTCACTTGCTACTTTCTAAACTTGTGTTGATTAAGGAAAAGATAGAAACTTTGAGTTATTTGATAAACTGCCATTGTGTTTCCTTTTTTGACGGCATAGTTACATATGTACGTATCACTACACCAAAAGACTGGTTAAGCAACGAACCTAGGGCCTTTCAGAGTTGTCTCCACTGTCTGTCCATTCCTTATCTTTCTACTTTGTTAGGCAGAAATTGCACCACTTCTAGATTGTCTAATTATATGTTACCTGTAACAGTTTGTGCAGAAAACACCTGTGAATGATGAGTCTGGGAACCCAATCATCACAAAGACTGACAGTTCCAATCCCTGGTGGTCCCTGTTTGAAGATGCCATCCGAAAGGCTGGTGGAAAACTTCAGAAACCTGAGATCTTTCCTGCTGCAACGGATTCTCGCTACTTTCGACATCGGGGATTGCCTGCAATTGGATTCTCACCCATGGCAAACACCCCTATTCTACTCCATGACCACAATGAGGTGACTCTAATCTCATACTTGTCTTCCATCATTTGCTTGGTTATTCATGTAATAGTATAATATCTTAAATTTGATTTTGTATATGAACTAGTTCCAGATTTTTTTTTCACCTGAGAACTAGTTCCAGATTAAACCCTGAATAATATGTGGCTATATTTAAGAGCTTTTTGGCTGAAGCAGAGCGCTGTCCTGATGATCTACCTGGGGTCAATTGTTTGGGACTGATTTTTCTCTCTCTCCTTTTTCGTATCCTATTAGTTGCTCGTACAACTATGTCCAAAAGACCCTGGTTCACATTAGGATTTGAAGTTATGGAATCCATATTGTGACGAGATTGCAGTTAACCCACTTCAACTTTGATCTTTTGGTGAACAACTTCCTGTGGTTTTCATTTTGGCTGAGTAACCTACTCAAACATTCATTATTTGCCAAAAGACACATTTCATGTCAAATGTTACCAAATATACAATTGCCTGAAATCACAAACCTCAAGAGAAATTTCCTTAAGGTGCACTGTGCTTGAATCAAGTTCCACAAAATCCTTAATTCAATACTCCTTTTTGTTGCTTTCTTCTCCCTTCTAAATGAAAGGGGTTATTTGCTCGTTGCTAACGTCGAAGCACAGGTGTCATTTACCATGGGGTTAAAGCAAGTTATTGCATTCTATGCAAATGAAAATTAGATATTAGTTTGTAGGGAGAAAACCCTCATTTTGATTTGCGCGAGTTAAAAAAAAAAGGCTACCTCGGGTTGTGTTTAGTTTGATTAATCATACTAATTTGTTTTGATCTGGGTTGTAATCGACGCTTTTTTATTTGGTATCTGTAATTGACACTTTTTATCTTGCAAGCAGTCCTCTCTGGAATTTCTATCGCTGAATTGCATGTTTGAATTTCCCTCTTGTTTTGCAGTTTCTGAACCGAGACGTATACTTGAAAGGAATTGAGATGTATGAGTCAATAATCAACGCTTATGCATCTTATATGGAGAATAGAGGAAATGGAGAATCCAAAGACGAGTTATGAGCAAGTTATTGGCCTGTTTTCTTTTCATACTTGGGATGCCTACTGTCTGTTTTATCCGATTGTAAGGTTATGACCTTAAGGGCCTAGGCAGTTTCTGATATGTAACAATAATGAGTAGGAAGCCAGGGTTTGGCCCACAATCTCGTCCAAGGTACTGAACCCTTGTCTGGATGTTTTCCTAAATAAATGTTCTGTGCATGAAATTGGGAGAAGGGGACATCTTGACTTGGTTACACATGCAAAAACTCGAAGTTCTTCTGCTTAAAAACTTCATGACATAGGCTCAGGCAATTTATTTTCCACAATCTTAGGTAGAGTAATGTTAGCCTTCCAAGGTATAATCTCTTTGCTAATTAAATTTTTAATGAGAAGGTTAACGGGGACAATATGGCTTAAACTATAAATTATTGATGGAAATGTGAAATTAATGAACATATCGTGATAGATAAATATTGAACAACAGATGGATAGCTTTTTCTCCCTTCTTCTAAACAGAAGGGGTTATTTGCTCATTGCTAATGTTGAAGCCGCAAGTGTCATTTATCGTGGGGTCAAGGTAAGCTATTGCATTCTATGCATGTATAAATTAGAGGTTAAATCATCGGGGAGAACAACTTACTCGGAACTGATTTTTCACGAGGAGGTTCTGATATGTAACATGAAGTAGGAAACCATGGTTTGGAGTACAAACCAGTTTCTAAGCATGGACTCCCCCCGCCCCCCACAAAAGGTATGAGGTTGAATCTGGGTCCAGTGACTATCTTTTTGCAGAGAGCATAAAAATTCACGCGAAAACTCCCAGAATTTCTTTTGCTTATAAACTCTATATATGAAATAGGCTAAGGCAATTCATTTTCTGCAATCTCAATGAGAGTGACGTTAATATTTTCGTAGCATAATGCCTCTACTAATTAAATTCTCTAATGAGAATGTTAATGGGCATGGTATTGCTCAAAATGAAATTTATACAGTAACGCAATTTAACCCGCATAATATTTTTTTTTTTTAAAAAAAAACCAATGCTACAGAAACATCATAGATAAATCACCTTTTCAATCTTGACAGAGTGACATTTATTCAAGCTGAAGAGGGCAACCCAAAGACTCAAATGATTACAATAAATCATTCACGAGCAAGTACAACAACTTGTTTGCCAGGATTACGGCCAGTGAAAACTGCTTCCAGAGCTGCAGGGCCATTCTCAAGATCTTCAGCAAAGGCCTCCACATAGGACACCTTGCCCTCTCTAACATATGGCAGCATGGTCTCCAAGAACTTGGGATACAGGTGATAGTAATCAAACACTGTGAAAGCTTCAATTCGGACCTGCTTGTATATAATAGACAGCAAATTCTTGATGGGTTGAGGCTCTGGAAGATCATACTGGGATATCATTCCTGCCACCACCACTCTTCCTTTCCTTCTCATGTTCACAAGTGCTGCGTCCAGCATCTCACCCCCAACATTCTCAAAGTACAAGTCAATCCCTTCAGGGAAGTACCTATTTGAAGCCAAGCCACATGTAACAATAATTTCTTAACCTATTTGACTCCAAGTAGTTTTTTGTGTTCTAGGGTATATTTTGATTGGAGAATAATGCAACAGAAGGGACTTTGTTCAGGGTTACTGCTAAAAAAAGGAGATTAATAGAGGCTTTTCATTGATATGTATGCCAAATGCAGTATCATGCACTGACCTTTTCAAAGCTGCATCCAAGTCAAGCTCCTCCTTGTAATTGAAAGCCCCATCAAACCCAAACTTGTTCTTTAAGATTTCAGCCTTTTCTCAGGGGAAAAGTCAGACGAGTTAATTGGTGGATTCTTGTTCAAAATAAAATTTTCATGCAATGCAAACCCAAGAGTATCCCTACCTTTTCTTTACTTCCTGCAGTTCCAACAACATAGCAGCCCATCAATTTTGCCAATTGGCCCACTAGTTGACCAATTGCTCCAAATGCTGAAGATATGAACACATTCTCTCCTTTCTTTGGAGCACCAATTTCAAAAAAGCCCACATAAGCGCTCATTCCAGGCATACCTGCGTGTCATCAAAAGAAATCATTTACTGCTAAGAATAATTACAGCGCCATAAGATTTGTGTACTCATATTGCTTTGAGGCCATTTCCAAGTGAACGTATTTACCTAGAAGTCCTGTGTAATAGGATAATGGTACGTCTGTTTGCTCAATTTTGAAGAAAGTGTGAGTGTTGGTGAGGATACTGTACTCTTCCCATTTGGTGACTCCCCAAAGTAAATCACCTGTTTTGAAGCCAGGGTGTTTGGAATCCAATACTTTGAAAACTCCATAGCCAGCTATTACCTGAAGTAACAATTCGGCTCACACAAATTAGAGGGTGTTTAAAGAAACTTTTCAAACTTCAGTCGCTACTTTTACCTCGGCTAAAACGCATCCTAATCTCTGACATTTTGATATGGTTTCATACATGAACAAATGACAAGAGAATAAAGCAGAAGCAGCAAAGAAGGTTTTGTAGAAACTGGAGGTGAAAAATTAGTGAGAAAGAGAAGGGGCCTACAGAATCAGGAACAAAGGTGTCAAAGAGACGGTCTTTTTGAGGTTTCTTACTGCCTCGCATGTAAGGATCACAGGAAAGGTAGAGATTCTTGACAAGTACTGCATTGGAAGCCTCTGGAGGAAGTTGCAGGCTGATGATAGAACTACTCAAGTACATGTCTGTTTCTTTAGGATTACCAGTTATGTAATCTTTGGCTAGCACCTGCTTGTTCTTCGCTTTCTCGACGGCCATAGTTTCTGCCATTTCTCTTAATCTTCAAATGCTCTGATCTCAGATGTCCAAGCAACATTCTCTCCCAGACATATAAATGGAGAGAGAGAGAGAGAGTAGCAGCAGCAGAAAGAAACTACGATGTCATGGCCCACTTCATATTCAAAGGCAAAGTTACGTAGTAATGTCTCTTTTTTATTTCGGAAAATTCAATGTTTGACCAATAAATATTTTATGTCATGGCCGCCTTCATATGCAACAAATTCATCGGAGTTCGGATATTACTAAATTAAGCAACCGCCGCCCCACTAATTAGAGCGGGAAAGCAGCTAATCAGAACGCCGCCCCACTAACTGGAACAGGAGAGGAATTAATTAGAACCACTCTATGATTGATTGATACTCCTCCCAGTCTTTATTGTAAGGGATTATTGAGCAAATTTGTCTTGAAACTTTTTGAAAAGAAGCGTCTGTTATCCTAGACATTTTTTTGGCACAACGTTGACCAGGAATTTTCAAAAGCAGCGCAATGCCGCCCCATAGTTAATCACACGAATGTTAACAGTTAAATTTGACCAACACAAGCTGACATGGCAATTTGGCAATTTGGGTAAGCTGATTTGGACTCACACATGGAACAAAATCTCGGTGCCCTAGGTTAGCCAGTTCAACTTGTTGATGAGTTGAATTAAAAGAATTATCCCATTTTTAAAAATAAATTAGGTTAACCCAACTCACAAAATGACAGGTTAAAACAGCTGGCTCGCAAGCTAGTCTATTTGTTTAAAAAATAATTTATTTTTTCAATCACAATATATTTTTTTATAAATATATAATAATAATAATATTTTTCAAAACTATTATTTATGAGTCCCAAATATGTTCTTTACATGTAAAAGACAATGTAAATTTTTTTTATAATTTGTAAATGAAATTTTTGTTATAGTTTATAAATTAATTACTTATTAGTTTTTATAAAAATATTTTAAATATATATTATTTGTTAATCTCATAAGATCTATTGATTGAAACACAAATATAAATTTATTAAAAAAAATAATATAAATTTATATTTAACTTTTATTTTAAAAAATAATATAAGAAAAATTATTGTGTATATATATATATATATGATATGTTAATTATAAATTTTAAATTATTTTAAAAAATAAAATTATATTTTACAGGTTAGCCTGCAAGCTCACTAGCCTAACAATGTGTGAGTTGGGTTGCATATTTTTAGCTTGTTTATCTTAACAAGCTGGCCCTACTCAACTTATTAAAATATTAATCTATTTGTACGGCTCTACTCTGCACCCATCTCCCTCCCTCCTTCCTTCCTTTTCTTTACCAACGTCAACACAACTGTCCTCACTTGCAAGTCCTCCGCTCAGCGTCAACCTCATCAACAAGAAGAACGTCCTTGCCGGAGATTTCATGCCCAGGATAGCCTTCAGCGACAACATTAGGGAGTCGGTGTTTATCAGGACACTTACGATCCTCATCTTTCTCCCAATCGAGAGCTGTCGACAATCATATGCAGACCCCGAAAGATGATCGGTGTTGGGGTCTAAGAAGACGAGGAGAACCAGAAACACCTAAGCCAGATTTGAGGGAAACCCAAGGTTGGTTGGTTCGATTGTCATCAATGGCTTTTGCAAGTAGCATTCTCTAGTCTTCAAGACTAAATAATATATGTCTTGCCTCCTTCTATTTTGTTTCTCTAATCATCAAATATATTAGTTAGCTATTCATTTTTACTCGGCTGCGAGCGATAAGCTACGACTGGTGGAATTTTATATACTCTTTCATGCTTGTTCGGCACTTTCATGTTTCGCTTTATTCTCTTTGTACCTTTTTTCTTTTTTGAACACCGGCGTAATAATTAACTCAGTTTTTATGACTCATCACTCATCTTCGTCTTCCTCACAAGCTCCTTCCATGGATCCCCATTCAACCACTGATATGACCAAATCCTCCGCAGCTTCCATCCCTGCTTCTGTACCCACAAAGACGGCCGCGTCCAACACCTCATGGGGGAAGCATCAACCCTGTCGCCAGCGTTCAACCCAAAGAAATCACCATCAACCCCAAAACCGGCTTATCCGCCTGAAGGCCCAGGGCACCGCCGACAAGCTTCCCTTGCTAATTTACATCAACGGCGGCGCGTTCTGCATCTGCTCGATGTTTCATCCATTTTACCAGGGACACCTCAACACCATTGCCGCAGAAGCAAATGCTGTTGTTCTGTCCATCAACTACAGGTTAGCCCCGGAGGCCGGAGCAAACACATTTGTTCTGTTGGAAGAGGTGCATTCTCTGGGGGAGGTGAAGACTAAAGAATGATGAAGACGAAGGATTCCGTAGCGGCCGGAGGGACCTGACTTGAGTGCTCGTCACTCCTTGCTCTTGAGTATCATGAGAGAAAGTATTCTTTTATTTTATATTTATCAAAACAAAATTTTATAAACATTATAAAATTATTTTAATACTTTTTTATTTTCAATTTAATTTAAATTTAATTTAAAGAGTTCAATTTAATATTAAAATTTTAATTAAAGTATATTTTTTATCCTTTAATTTTACATCAAATTTTATTTTAGTTCTTTAATTTTAAAAAGTGTATTTTCAAGTATTTAATTCTAATATCATTAGTTTCATTATAAAAAAAATTATATTAAAATTTTAAATTTTAATAAAATATTCTTAAATATTGACTTATTAAGTTTAATTTTTTTAAATAACAATGATCATCACAAAAAATAATCATTTAAAACAAACGATGTTAGAATTAAAGGACTAAAAATACACTTTATAAAATTAAGAGATTAAAATAAAATTTTATATAAAATTAGAGGATTAAAAGTGTACTTTATCCTAAAATTTTTATAATTATTATATATTGATACTAACTATTTAGATGTACTTTATGCAATATAATTGAGAAGTATACTTATTTTGATTGCGTGGAGTACATCTAGATAATCAATATATAACAATTATATAAATTTTAATATTAAATTAAACTCTTCAAATTAAATATAAACTAGATTGAAAATAAAAAATTATTAAAGTTATTTTATAATTTTTTATTTTAATAAATATGAAATAAAAATATATAATAATATTTTAAATTTGAATCATTCAAATTAAAATTTGAATGGTCCAAATTTTATTATAGTGATGAGCACCATGGTACTCATTATTTTGATGACTATTAAAGACAAATTTGCATGTGTAGAAGTTTGGATTTAATTTTGGCGCCTATCACTTAATGAGCGTCTGGATTATCTAGATGAAAAATTTTAAAAATTTAGATTTATAGATTTTATTTTTATTTTATATTTATGATAAAAAATTATAAAATTTTAACAAATTTACTTTATCATCAATTTGGGATTCAAAGTACATTTATATTGTTAATTTATAAAAAAAATAATATTAAATTATACTATTCAAATCAAATCGGCATTATTCAAATTGATAATAAGATAGATTTATTAAAATTTTATAATTTTTATTTTAAAAAATACAAAATAAAATATAAAATAAACTAGTAAATATGGATTGTTCAGATTAAAAATCTAATCAATTTAGATTGCTCGTCACCTAATAAATACTGAAATTGAAAGTGCAGAAGTCTTGGTCCACGTGGATCCAATTAACATATATCACTTGCCGCATGTGATTTTATTGATCAACATAGCGATCAATGTTTTTTAAATTTAATGGTACAATAATATTATACCGTTTTTGAAAGTTTTGAGATGATATTATTTCAAAAAAAAAATTTAAGATATCAGTTGCTCCTCAAAAAAGAATTTTAAGATAAATTTGCCCTTTAATCCTATTATAAGAACCAAAAAAAAATTAGTTGTGTCACTGAAATTATTTAAAAATTACCTTGATTTTTATTTTTATTCCTAATAAATACCATAAATTTTTAAAAAAAATGCTACCTTTGTCCCAGAGGAGATTTCACGTTCTAAAATATATAACACTTTAATAAAAATAAAATTTCATCAATTATGCTTTTTCAATATTACATTTCCCATATATTCACTCTTTTTAATATTCATTCACAAATGAAATATTAAATGAATGACATTTTTAAAAATTTATATTTTTATTTTAAAATAAATTAAGTTATAAAGTATATTTAATGAGTATAATTAATATATGTGAATTTATTTAAAAATATTTTATAATTGAAGATAAAAGAAGTATCTTTTATTTCCTTATTGGAAATTAAGAAGAAGGGTATATTTAGAATAAAACAATTACTACTTCACAAATTCTTACAAACTGACTTATAGTTAACAGTATTATAAAATTTTTCTAGAAAGCGCACTTATTTATGAGAGCTTAAAGAATATATATATATATATATATAATTAACATACAAAGCACCTTACAGTGTAACGCAGTTTCATGCATCCACATAGCAATGGTCTGCATTGACGTAGTTATGTCTGTCACATATAATTAAATCAACGATAAATTATTTACGCATATTTACTTATTTTCATGTTCATATATACACTCATGCGATGTACAAAATGTTTTGTTTTTTTCTTGTTTTGACGTAATCAGCGTCTCTGGGGGTTTTTTATTTTCTTTTTGTTTTTTCAAGACGGAAACAAATCAAAGCAAAACCTTGTCTTTTGATTATACCCATGCTGCCGGGGAGTATTCAATCAAAAGGCACTCAAAAGGAAACCATTTATCCTTCATAAGGGTTGGTAGCACGTGCGGTCGTATATCTGTAAGAAAATATATTTTAAAACTGTCTAAGATTTCAAAAATGTTGTGCAACAAATAGATTTTCTCTGAATTCGTCTTTATTGTCATTTCAATTTCACAAGCAAGTGACTGCTATACTCGCATTCTTGGCTTACATGCCTGCTTCATCTCTTCACATTACAATTTACAAATCCATGTACCTGACTGTAATACATCTCTTATCATTTTACATGAACGAATGATCCCCTAAAAAAGAATTAGAAAAGAACGAGGTCTAATTTCCTGTCACTTGGTTATAAAGAAGTCCCGTGAGGTGTCGTTTCAATAACTAAAGGCCTATTTAATTTCTGTTTTTATTTTTTATTTTTAAAAGCTGTTTTGCAAAATAATTTTTAGAACTATTCTTCAAAACAAAACAAAATGAAAATCTATTTGGTTTTATCACTTTAAAACAATTTTATAATTTTAAAATATACTGATAGTGATAATTGCGGGTGATTAATGATGATGGTTTAGAATAAAAATTGGTTAAAATTATTATTCTCTTTGTTTAAAAATATAAAATATTTTTAACTGAATCTCATCTCCTAATAAAGTAACTACCTACTTTCAAACTAATTCTATATTTTTATATTTACTTCTATTAAATACTTTACAATAAATATAAAATAATTCATTAATAGAAACACTTTAAAAAAAAGACAATGATTATATTTTAAGAATTAAAAATGTCTTACATTTTTTAAACATCCAACTTCTCAAAAAATACTTTATATTTTTTAACGAATGAGTATATTTTTTAATAATCAAATGTAATGTTTTAAAAAAAAAGAAAAATAAAATAAAATAAAAATTTAAGATGTTTCCAGTTTTTTTATTTTAAAAACAAAAAATGAGAATAATTTTGGAAATAATTAAATCCACAACACTTGTCCTAACAAATTTTTTTATTTTTTAAACAAAAACAATTTTTGAAAATAAAAATCAAACAGGCCCTTAAATTTAAAAAATTAACAGTTAAGCGAAGATCGATTATAAGCTTCTATCAACACCTCTATACATTTCATGGGACAACTTACGACTGAAGAAAAAACTGGCTACTAGATATAACGAAGGATTTTGAAATTGATACAAGACACAGAAACTACTTTCTATTCATTCCACGACTACTTGTCCCAGATGATTAGTAGCAACACAAAATCACATGGATATGTAGTAAAAATGAGGGTCAGACTAGCCACCAGACGAATAGGACAGCAGGAGCCAGAAACAAAGTGCAAGCCCAAAGAACTTCACTGTTCCTTTGCTTTTTTCCGTGCCAGGAAGCGTTCTTTTGCTGCAGCAAGAGCATCTTGAGTTCTTTTGTGATGATCAGGCTTTGGTTCAGCAGCTGATGATGACTGTTCCGCAGAAGCTCCTCCTTCAAGAGAAGCCTCGTGATTTGGCTTCATATCCAAGGGGTCATTACTTCTGTTAGAAGGACTAGAAGTTTCCTCCTCGCCACCATACTTTTGTCCAAAGGATGAGTTACTCACAGATTGTTGAGCTCTTTCACACCTATCATCATTTTGATGTTGATTTAATGGGTCTGCAGTCCCTGCCTGGCTTGTCTCTGGACTTCTTGCCTCAACCTGATCCTCACGCTTCCTCCCCTTGGCATCTTTTGCACCATATGCTATATTTTTATCGAGGTTTGAGTAAAAATCCAGCAAAAAGTCCTTCTTCCTCGTAACCTATAATAATAATAAATTGCCAGTAAAAGTTAACAAATAAACAAACATTTCAATTTTGTTTCTAAATAGCAAAAGAATGGGAGAAACACGCCCGTCACCTAACAAATTACATGCTAATAATGCCTGCCTCGGCCAGCACAATTTAAATCCGCAATTTTGAATCAGAATGATAGTGTTGAAAGAAATAACAAAAAAATCCATAATGCCTCACCAAGTTGAACAAACTATTCATTGAATTTGGGACCAAATGATGCAATCAAATTATTGCCCGCTAAATATTAGCACAGAAAATAACTTTTTCAAAACCCAATAATACTCACGAAAACTAAAAACACAAGATACTGTATTGCTAAATTTCAATGTTAAAAAATATTAACGGGCTAAGCACTCTTTTAACTAATCTTACAACAACAACAACAACAACAACAACAAGCCTTTATCCCACTAAGTGGGGTCGGCTATATGAATTGCAAGACGCCATTGTGCTCTATCATTTATCAAGCTTTTAGGAATATTATTAATTAACAGATCGCGTTCAATAACTTCCAAAAGTGTTCTCTTAGGCCTTCCTCTACCTCTCTTAATTGGACTCAAAGTTATATGTTCCACTCTTCTCACCGGTGCCTCCCTTGGTCTTCTTTGTACATGTCCAAACCATCTTGACCGATTTTCTACTATTTTTTCCTCAATAGGTGCCACCCTCACTTTTTCGCGTACGTGCTCATTTCGAATTTTATCTTTACGTGTATGTCCGCACATCCATCGTAACATTCTCATCTCTGCTACTCCAACTTTATGCTCTTGTTGTCCCGTTAGAACCCAGCATTCACTATTATATAACATTGCCGGTCTGATAGCAGTGCGATAAAACTTTCTTTTAAGTTTATTAAGCACCTTACGATCGCAAGTAACTCCTTTAGCTTTTTTCCAATTAAACCACCCAGCTTGAATTCTATGTGAAATATCTCCGCTGATTTCGCCATCATTTTGAATAATGGCTCCCAAATATCTAAACTTTTCCACTTGAGGTATATTTGATCTCCCAATTTCACTTCCAAATTATTGTCGAATAGTCCTTTACCAAATTTACAATATAAATATTCCGTCTTACTTCTACTCAGACGAAACCTTTCGACTTCAATGTCCTTCTCCATAACTCAAGTTTGCAATTAACCTCTTCTCTTGTATCTGCTATAAGAACTATATCATCCGCGAAGAGCATACATTTCAGAATTTCCCCTTGAATATGTTCGTCAAAATATTTAAGATCAAGTTGAACAGATAAGGACTCAGAGATGATCCCTGATGTAGTCCAATCTTTATAGGAAAATCCTTTGTTTGACCACTAGGCGTTCTTATACTAATTTTTACCCCCTCATACATATCTTGTATGGCTTTAATATAAGCAATCCGTACTCCCTTTTTTTCTAACGCTTTCCAAAGCACTTTTATTGGTATACGGTCATAAGCTTTTTTCAAATCAATAAAAACCATGTGTAGATCTTTATCTTTACAACGATACTTTTCCATTAATCCCCTTAGTAGATAAATCGCCTCTATAGTTGATCTACCTGGCATAAAACAAAACTGATTCTCAGAAATACTTGTCTCCAATCTCAACCTGTGCTCAATTACTTTCTCCCACAATTTCATTGTGTGGCTCATGAGCTTAATCCCTCTATAGTTAGTACAATTCTGAATATCTCATTTATTTTTATAAATAGGAATTAATGTACTTCTCCTCCACTCATCAGGCATTTTCTTGGACCATAAAATTACATTAAATAACTTAGTTAACCATCTCACCCCTTCTTCACCTAAACATTTCCATGCTTCGATAGATATACAATCAGGTCCGTTGGCTCTACTATTTGCCATTTTCTTAGAGCTTCCTTTACCTCCTTATCACGTATTATTCGATAGAATGACAAATTTTGTTCTCCTTCACCAGTTACTAAATCGTCCAAGTTACTAGATGAACCCTCTCCATCATTGAAAAGCTTAGAAAAGTAAGTCTCCCATCTATTTTTAATTTCATCATCTATAACTAAAGTTCTTCCCTCTTCATTCTTAATACACATTACTTGTTCTAGATCTCTTGATTTTCTTTCCCTACTCTTGACAATTTTATAAATATTTCGCTCTCCTTTTTTCGTCTCAAGGCTCTTATAAAATTCTTTAAAAGCTTTAGAACGAGCTTCACCCACAGCTCTCTTAGTTTCCTTCTTAGCCATACGGTACCTCTCCCAATTTTCCTCATTGTTACACAAATGTATGGCTTTAAAACAGTTCTTCTTATACTTGATTTTGTCCTGTACATTATTATTCCACCACCAAGACTCCTTATCTCTCGGACCAGAACCTTTTGATTCTCCCAAAATTACTTTTGCAACCTCCCGTATTTTTTTAGCCATATCCTCCCACATGATATTAGCACTTTCCTGAGATTCCCAAATTCCTTTATCCAAAAGATTTCGCTTGAAAATATCTTGCTTCTCACCTTTTAATTGCCACCACCTAATCCTTGGTGCTACTACTTGTCGACGTTTTTGGATTTTACTCATAATACACACATCAAGGACTAGGACCCTATGTTGTGTCGTTACAGCGTCTCCGGGGATCACCTTGCAATTTTTACAAAGTCTTCTATCTGTGTTCCTAACCAAAAGAAAATCAATCTGTGACCTTGAGGCTCCACTTTTGTAAGTGATGAGATGCTCATCTCTCTTCTTGAAACAAGTGTTGGCAATCTTAAAATCATACGCCAATGAGAAATCAAGAAGAGTTTGTCCTTCATTGTTTAGCTCTCCAAAACAAAACCACCATGCACCCTCGCATACTGACCAGCTTCCTTGCCGACATGCCCATTAAAGTCTCCTCCAATAAAAATCTTTTCACTCTGTGGTATATGTCGAATCAACCCCTCCAGATCCTCCCAAAATAATTCCTTAAGACTAGCTTCTGTCCCGACTTGCGGCGCATAAGTGCTAACAATATTAACAGTCTCACGTCCAATTATCATTTTTAAGGAAATAATTCTATCTCCAATTCTGCTAACTTCTACAACGTTCTTCTTCCACTCCCTTATCTATAATGATGCCTACTCCATTGCGTGCACTTACTTTTCCTGTATACCAAAGTTTGAAACCTTGAATATACTTAGCTTCTTCTCCACGCCATTTTGTTTCTTGCAGGCAAAGGATATTAATTTTCCTTTGAATCATAACCCCGACAAACCTCTACAGATTTACAATTCAATGTCCCAACATTCCAAGTACCAAATCTAATTTTGCTCTCATGGACTAACTTCTTTAGCCGCGTGCGTTCAGAATGACGCGGTAGCCCTTTTTAACTAATCTTAATTTATGTTCCATAAACTGGAATTCATAAGTTGTAGTTATACCCATTCTATTTTGTAATTACATCACAGAAAGAACAAAATAGATGCAATTTTCTTGTACTCTCTGAAACACAGATCACTCAAAAAACAACAAAAACGCAGGACTATCTCAAACTAAACAAACAAACACACACAAAAGACTCTTAAAATCAAAGTATCTTTTCATTCACAAAATAATAAATCAAGTATCTTATTTCATTCAAAAAATAAAAATAAATCATTCAGATGACAAAGGTATAACAATTAATCCATTTGCATGCAAGGCTAGAAATCGAATAACTTACATCATCTCTCTCCTCTTGTAGTTCACGCAAGCGTTCTAATTCCATCTGTTTCTCCCGTTCAGCAAGTTTCTTCCTATAAGCCTCCGTAACAAATTTGTCTTTGTCAGCATAGAGGTGATCATCTTTGCTTCTCTCTTTAGCAAGTTTCTCTCATAACAATATACAGATACTGCTCCCGCTCTTTTGCCTTTTGTATAAGATTTTGAATGTATTTTGGCTGCACCATAAAAACTTTCACGTTGATTAATATCAGTTGGCAATTGTAATACAACCCAAAATGAAACAAGTCTTGCTACTTTAGCATCCATAAAAATAAAACCAGAAAACTTTGTTAATAAAAATCAAACAACAAAACAAAATCCAACTATCCAATGTAAAGTTAGTCTTAATAGTCTTCACCAGAAAGAAAAAAAAGAAAAAAAGTCAACTTTGAAACCATGTTTCTTGTAAGGCTACTAAAGATTTTATAATCTGAGAATATAACGATTTGATTAGCATTCTTTACAATCAAGCATCCGAGTTGACATGAGGAACAAATAAAAAGTACTTCCACACAATAGACAAAACATATCATCTAGCAGTGTAGGATTTTCATATCAAGCAGGGCATGACAATTTCAAAATACTGATGAATAAATCAGCCAAATAAGTAAAATTTTATCATGATAAAATATATTAAAATTTCATCATGTCCTCCACCAAGTGATGAAGAATTGAAGATAAAACAGTTGTTAGTGGAGTATAACTAAATACTGTTAGTCATAACTCATACATCAAATTGGACATCTTAGCAAATGATTTACGCCATCAGTAGTCAAAGGTGAAGGGCGCACTTAAGGTGCTAGACATCTAAAATGCCTCAGTCAAGAGGCACAAGAAAAGCACATGCTTGAGTAGACCAACACATGCGCACACCAAAACAAAAAACAAAACAAAACAAAGAAAGAAAAGAAAAGAAAAAAGAATCGATTAATGTAACTTGAAATGATATCATTACATGTGTAAAGCTAAAATAAATTATTGCTGGAAATTTCCTGATAATTGTGAAACGTGTGAATCTTAAAGCCTATGCATGCTCTGTGCGAAGATATGGGGTTAGCACTAGTTTGACATTTTGGAAAAGGAAATGACATGTTAAAGGTGGGGTTGGACTATTCAAATTGTGTTTTATAGTTTCTGAACCTAGACTTATATGTTGATTACTTCACAAGTAAGGCACCTAAGGGCAGGCCAGGCCACTCCCTTCAACGAGGCACCAAAAGGCAATCTGACAGGCCCTGGACCTATTTGCCCCCTCATAAAATAAAGGACTTCTTAGCTGTCAAATGCATGAAGAGATAGTTGTACCTTTCTTTCTTCACGGTCTTGAACCAATGGACGTGCAATCTTTTCTTTCATTTTGTCATAAACTCCATCATAATCAAATATGGTTGGATCTTCTTCAATGCTTTCTTTTTCTGCTCCTCAATCTTAGAAATAGGAAAACCAAAAGGAAACCAAGATGTGATGTAATTGAACAAACAAACAATGCTATGTATTTGATATTAACCAAAGCATCAGCGCATCACAGATACATTAAACATCCAGAAGACTATCATTCAGCAAGGCCAACTTACTTCCTTGAGAGCCTTATTTTTGCTAGCCTGTCGAGCAATTTCTTTCTCAACATCATTCTCATCCTCATTGCTAAAGCCAAAAGGAGTAGCAAGGGAAGATCTTACTGGCTGCTTCTTCTGTGCAGGCCTCAGGTTCAAGCCATACTTGCTCATTTTACTCAGATTCTTCTCCTGTAGTTTGAAAAAAAAATGAAGGTGTCAAACCGTGAATACTGAAGTGTCCACTGGCACCTGACTGCCAAAGTATAAGATAAACCTCACTCTGTAAGTCATGTTTATCAAAGTCATGATTTCATAATTTTCATTTAAAAGATATTTATTCAAATTACAAGATTCAATAATTTCCCAATAGAGAGGTTACACTCATCAGTGATAAGTAAATACTGCAACCTTAAACAACACAAATAATTTAATCCAGGCATTACTCTTGCATTCGAATTGCTCTTAATTCAACACTCACAACCTAACCTTACCATACACAATCTAATTCAAATAGCTTGATTCTTAATTAATAATTCTAATAAGCTAAAAGAACACATTTCTTATGCTTAGTACCAATAAGGAGGTTGAATGTCAAATAAACTGAAGTCAAAATAAGGTTTAAATTATCATGGTTAGGTAAACATTTCAATTATGGTTCTCTTCTTCTTTCAAGAATGCATCAAACACCACTTACTAACCTCTATCATAGCCAGCCAGAATTAAATCCTTTTTCCAAAGGACATTCTACAAAACCCTCAAAGCAATAAATTCACCAGTTATACAAAATCACCAGTCTCCAATTTCTGACGTCTACCTCACTAAAATCCATAGGCGGACCTATATTACACTCAGAGGGGGAAGATAATATGCATAGCTCATATAATACGTTTTAAATTTTTGTTCCAGATGCTTTGACACAACTCGAGCCAAGTCATTTACAAGGTCATACATCATAAATGCCTTGAGAATAGTGATCAAAATGAATAGGGCAGAAGTATAATAGCCAATTACACACCATTCGAACAAAAACAAGTTAAAAAAAAAAAATTGAACTTAGTAAATATTCCCGAATTCAAAAGCGTCAATATTCAAAAGATTACACGACCAGCTTCAAAGCCAAATTAAAATGAAAAATTTAAAACAAAGCAAGAACAACCACGCAGGGAACAGATGACGCGGGGAACAAATTCAAATCTAGATTCAAAGCCAGATTGAACGAACCAATTTCACCGGACCGAGAACAACCACGGAGGGATGACAACGGTGAACGGCGTCCAACGGAGTGTGGAATGCTTGTTCGTTGAAGAAGAGAAATGGATCCGCTGCTCATGAGATTGTGTTTTTTGTCGGGGTTATTAACTTATATTAATCTTAGGGGGCAATTGAGCATAGGTCGAAAATTAATTACTCTAATAACAAAAATAATCTCATTACCTATATAAAATAATATTAAAAAAATTATGAGATTTTTATAAGAATTTTATTTAAACTTTTGGATGTATTAAATGTATTTTTAAAATTTATTTTAATTTTTTTTCATCTCATCCTTTTTTTTTAATATACTCATTCCTTTAAAAAAAATTTAAATAATTAAAAAAATAAAAAAAAAACTTAACTTTTAACTAAATAAAAACATAAAAAAGTTAAGGTGATTAAAAAAATTGCAGTCTTTTTTTTAATTTTTTATATTTATATATATATATTTTCAATTTTTTTTTGTATTTATTTTAAAATAATATAAAATTTATGTACCTATTCTTATATGTTTAATATATTTATATTTAAAATAGATCTTAATATTAATTAAATTAAGAATAAAAATTTATTATAAGATAAATAATTTATAAAATATTTATATTTTAATTTAATTAAAAATAAATACATTAAATATATAAATTTAAATATAAAAATGTTAGCTCCTTTAAAAATTATCTAACCAGCTATTTCGGGCAGCAAAAAATGCAAGGCAAGTGGGACAGTGATGGGCCCAAGTTAGTCCAATTGCTTTTTGGTAAAGAAGTCCAAACTCCAAATTGCTGAATCAGGAAGCAGAAGAAATTTATGACCCGTATTCGATTCGTTTCCTTCCATCCAAGTTCCCGTCCTCTCCTTCCTTGGCTTCCATGGTTTCCTTCAGATTCTAGTTATTCCTAGTTTATGAGCAAAATTATGACGGCAGCTAAACCTTCCCCTACGGATTGACATCCTAAAGAAGCGTGCAGACGATAGAATAATGGACATTTCAGACTTTAGAGCAGATACACTAGTCCTGTCTCTTCAAAAATTTCGTCTTTGAGGTACTACTTTGTATGCCTCTTTCTTTCTTTTCTGTCTTCAATTTCGGGCATTGAAATTAACGAGTCTAGGATCTGGGTGGATTATGTCGATGCTTTTCCTTTTTTGGAGAGTTATGTGTAATTCATGGGACGTCTGAAATTTTTCATTTGGGGCATTCTTATTTATTTTCACCGTTTGCACCACGAACTTTATTTGAGCTGAATTTCATATGTCGCGTCGATGGTCACGAGATTAGAGACAAGCTAACCCACCGTAGCGTTATACTTGTGCTTCTAAGGTGAGGAAGAAAACTGAAGAACTGGGTGTTGGGCGGATAGCAGTAACTTGCTTCTTCCTGTGCGGTTCTAGTTGAACTGAACTGCTGCTCTCTTAAGCGTCCGGCGCAGGGAGCAGAAAACAGAGGCCTTTGGATTGCAGAAAAAGGTATGTTTTCGTTGTGTCTTGTAGTAATTTTGTCCTGTTTGATCTTTCTTTTGAGTGAGTATGTTTGAAGTATAAGATAGTTCAAAAATGTCCATTCGCGTATTGGTGCTTTTGATTTAGAATCATTCATGACATGTAAAATAGTGCGGATTTGGAGTATCTTATATAACCACAATTTAGCAGGCTATCGGTAGGCTCTTCCCACATTAAGCAAAAGTTAGCAACTTAAAAACTAAAAATTATGATCAGTGACCATTGAAAAAGAAATTGAAATAAAGAAAGAAATGGTTAACGTGGTGTAATTTTGATTACAAACTTTTGATTTTAGTTTGCTGTGCTTATTCAACAATATATTTCAGGAATTAAATGCTTCTGTTTATTTGAATATTATTTTCTCGTTCCAGGGTAGATGTAAAAATCTGGACATTAAAGTTATTAAAGTTGCGCCCAGACATCATTCTTTCAGTCTTGCTGAGCATAAAAATTGAAGATGAATGCATTGCTTAACTTTAGTTCTTTCTGTTAAATCAAAAGTTTGAATATTAGTTTATCTTGGCTGTAGTCTCAGGGGCAGTGAAGGTGCAAGAAGGGGAATGTCTCTTCGAATAAAAGCTGTGGTCGATAAGTTCATGGAGGAGTTGAAGGAAGCATTAGACGCTGATATACAAGATAGGATCATGAAGGAGAGAGAGATGCAAAGTTACATTAAGGAACGTGAGCGTGAAGTTGCTGAGCGTGAAGCTGCATGGAAGGCTGAGCTTTCTCGACGAGAGGTGCCCACTTCTCATAACTTCTTTTGGTTTATCGAACACAAAGGAAGATAATAAAAGTCTTGTGATAACTTTGATCTGACTTTAAGTAGCTAGATATGCTTGCTGCTGTTGAACAGTTTTCAAATTTTTGAGGGGTTATTAAGCTATGGCTTTTTTACATACCAAAAACTTGGCTTCAGTTTTCTGTGGTTACATTTTTAAAAGAGTTAATCATGTGGTGTGAGCATTGTTACTGCAAAATCAGGATTTTCATTTTTGATGTTTTTGTGAAAAATTTAAGATGTAAGTAGGGTTTTGTTAAAAATGCCCTCTTAATGATGTCTGTGGAAGAAATTAGATCTAGGAAGTTGATAAAACAGAAGAAAATTGTGTAGAAGGAGAGAAGAAACCTAGGCGTGACCCATAGCTTTTGATTTGGATCGCAACACAACCAGTACAAGAGCAATTCAGGGGCAATAATTATTGTCTAGAATAAAACTTCACAGTAATTAAAAACATTGACCTCTTAGAACTTATCCCACAGGAAAAGAAGAATTGAATCCTAATATTTAGGATGTTTGGTGCTGGGATTCTTTAAATTTCCTCGGAATTCCGTTTAGGAAGCCAAGATGTCACTTTTTTCAAGGTTCTTCACTTTAAGTATCCCTGAAAGTTGAGTTTCCACAAAAATAAAGGCATTTGAGTTTTCCAGCTTCACTTTAGACAGTTTCCATCTCCTCTCCTAGACAATTTTAATTCTGCAAGGTTATGGATTGATACAACCAGCCCAAACTCAAATGTAGAACAATATAAATGGGATGGTTTGATCTTTAAGCTTGTTCTTTTTCATTATTATTCCCGTCTTGTGTGGGCACGTGAGTACAAAGATGTTATTCTGTTATGCTTACCTAATACTTTGAAAGAGAAGCATGTCGCATTCTACCAATGTTTTCATTCATTATTCAGTGCCTAGTTTTGCACATGATCATGGCTGCTGAATGGCCTAAATCATTTATATATGTTGCACTTGCAGGCAGAGATTTCTCGCCAAGAAGCAAGGCTGAAGATGGAGAGAGAAAATCTTGAGAAGAAAAAGTGTGTTAATGGGAACTGCATCAAATCAGGATAATCAAGATGGGGCTCTTGAAATCACAGTCAGTGGCGAAAAATACCGTTGCCTCCGATTTGCCAAGGCCAAGAAATGAGGCTTTACTGGGTTGGCACAGAGAAAATGAACACGAGTCAGGCTAAGATTCTGCACCAGATACCTAATATATGGACTATGGAGAAACTTTTCTGGAAGATTCAATCATTCAGAAGCTGTAAACGAAGAAAATCACCTGTCATGTTTTTGTTGGAAAACTTGCAAGTTCTATCCGGTATTCTTTTTCTTGGATCTGCTGAGGCCTGAGGTCAAGATCGTCCATAACTATTGCCATGATGGTACCTCCGAAATCATGTGCTCAATCCAATTCTGGAATTATGGTTTATTCTTGATCACAGATTTGAGAAAATAAGCACTTTAGTCTGCTACTTTCACGATTTTATTCTCTTTGTTAGCACAAGAAATTTAGATTTGTGACAGATTGTAACATATTTGGCCGAAAGGATAACAAAGTTCGGATGGCAATATGAAAAAACTATGAATTGCACTATACGATAGTTTCACGCAACAGATCGCGTTGCATTTGATTCTCGGACTCGCAGTGTATGGGTGTTTACAATATTGTGTAATGATCCTTAAAGAAATTTCAATGTAAAACTTTTAAAAGACTTGGGGGGAGAAAAAGAGTAAGAGCAACAATGTGGACGATTTATATCATCCAAGAATTCGGGAGAACCTTTAAAAAATAATCCAAGTTCGTCACTCGCTCACACTGACACACGCACAATTAGAGAGGGGAAGAGAAATGGAAGGTGGTTGTGTTAAAATATAAGTGCAACGTTTAGGAGTTAATAATGGCTCAATCATAAGAGTTGGTGCCCTCAGTCGTAAACAAAGCATTGATGCATTTGAATTTGAATACTAGCATTCTTCGTCTTCTCACCTTAATTCGCAGGCATACTTTATTGCTTGCCTTGCTTCTATCTAACTCCACTCGGTTCTCTTTCGGTTTCATATTTATTGAGACGGGTGGAAGCATGTTTGAACTAATCTCCTTGCATATATAGCCTATATAATCACCGAAAGAACAAATTAAACTCATGAGGTTAATTTAAATGCTTGCTCGCTTTGCTTTGTTAACCCTTTGATTTGGGTGTTCAGTTAGAACAAGTATTGAGGTTCCTATAATGAGGTGGAGTTAGTGAGGCTGGCAAGAATTTGCAGCTAGGAAGTAGGCTGTGTCCGTTGTTGTGGCGTGGTGGGGATGTTGTCCCACAATTGTTGCAGTGGCGATTTTGATGTCGTGGACAACACAAAACGCATTCTTACAAATATGACAAGCCCACTACACCAATGGATCCATATGATTGTGCTGTTCGTGACCATAAAGCTATCAACAGATCCATTCTGTGCAATTATTATTTTTATTTAACATATGTATATTGTAGAAAATACAAGAGCGTGCACACATTCAAATGATTAGATGTGCAACGTATTGTTAAACTTTCAAAGTCTTGTTCCTGTCGTACGTGCCTTGTCGTTTTCCACCTTTTTCTTTCCTTCTCCCTTCCTCAACCATCGCCAGTATTATCCCTTCGGTTCTCTTCTTCCCATATTATTACCTTTTTTTCATCCCTCTATTTTTAATTGATTATTAATTATTCTGCAAAGACCACACACAGTTCTGATTCAAGCTGATATGTGTTACTGTGTCAGCATTTTTGTTTTGAAGCAAGAAAAAGCTAAATATTTGACCGACAAGTTAGTAAAGGGACCGGGA